TTCCATGTGGGCTTTGTTGCTTCTGAGCTTGATGGCCGCTTGATTACCTTCAAGCCTTTAAGGCCCCAGACGCTATACTTTTTGATAGCCGGGCACCATCAGCTTTCTTCACATTTGCTTATGCACCCATTTGTCTTCAGTGATCCGATCGATACCTCGTGATCACACAAGCGGGTATGTTCTTCCATGTGGGCTTTGTTGCTTCTGAGCTAGATGGACGCTTGTTTACCTTCAAGCCTTTAAGGCCCCAGACGCTGTACTTTTTGATAGCTGGGCACCATCAGCTTTCTTTGCCACATTTGCTTATGCATCCATTTGTCTTCAGTGATCCGTTCGACACCTCATGATCACACAGGCTGATATGTTGTTCCATGTGGGCTTTGTTGCTTCTGAGCTAGATGGCCGCTTGTTTGCCTTCAAGCTTTTAAGACCCCAGATGCTATATCTCTTGATAGCCAGGCACCATCAGCTTTCTTCAACACATCTGCTTATTCACCCGCTTTGTCTTTAGCTGTTGTGTCGGGAAGGTGAGCATCGTAGAATGCCAATTTAATAGAAGAAAGTATTCTTGCATTGAGGGAGTACTTGAGTGGAGGCCCAAAGATCTATTTCCCCATCCTCGTATAAATATATTTGCATATGTACATGTCTTTATCTAGACCTCTATAAATGTCCCACCAGCCAGCTTTATGGTGAAAGGCCAAAACATTTCGAAATAGCCTCACGAAAAGCCCCGGCAGTGCAATGCTCAGTGCTTGGCTGGCATCTGGAAGGCTCGCAGTGTCAATGCAGTTAGGTTGGTTCTCTACTGAAGCAAAGGCAGTGATGCTTCTAGGTGTTGTGTATAGAAAGAGACATATCAAGAAATGGCTTACAGAGTTGGAGACATAGGCAATTCCATTCTGGTTCAAGTCAGGTTTCTTCTGGAAGCTGATGAACAGGTAGCAAGATGATGAAGTAGGGAGGACAGGCTGGTGGATGCAGATGTCCAAAGTCAGCCCCCTGACAGTTCCTGGGATCAGCAGGTGATGCAACAGGAAGACTGAGGAATCAGAGGCAAGATCCAGCTCCAACAGCAGGCCGAAGAAGAATTAGACTCTCCTTGGTCTTCTCTTTTACAAAAAGGCTGGTGACACCAAGGAGGTGCCATCTAGCTGTGACTCATCATCCCTATCTATTACATCCACCCAGCAGATCTGTGGGATGAAGACCTGGGGACGTGCCTCTGTAAATCCTCTGGGGCAGTTCTACTCTGTGGTATGGGATTGCTGTGGGTGGGAATCAGCTAGGGGAGACACACAGCACCACGAGTCTACTGAAGACTCTTAGTGATACGCAGGTCCTACTTAGATGACGGGCCAGCACCAACACATGGAGTATCTCGTACTCCCCAAGGTGAAGGTCCAGAAAAATCAATCACTCCAAGCAACTTTACAGATGTGGTCTGGGAGCTGCTCCCCACCAGAGAGCAACCCGAGAAGTGTAGCAGGAGAGAACTGCCAATGCAGAATTCATTAGTTACCACATTGGAGTAGCAGGCTTGGAACTTCAAATATATAAACCAGGATCCACTGTGGGGGGCAGCGTGGTCTGAAATGTGAGACAAGTACAGGCAGTGCCAGGTTGGTGAACTCAATCCCTATCCTGAAAGAAATTCATCACCGTCACTCTGACTTGTTGCACATGCACAGCTTTTAAATCCTAAGCGTTAAGCTTCCCCGGCATTAATGTAAAGCTATAACAGGAACCACCAAGTCTCACCACAAATTCTTGAAAGACTGTAATGGAGGACCTGGAACAGCAGGTGCTGCCTTGAACATTTCCAGGTAGAGGCAGGAGGGAGAGGACTGCTCCTGGCGGGGGGAAGGGGTACCTGCTTGCACACCACTGGGGAACAAAGCAGCACTCCTCCCACAGTGCTTGGAACTTCTGCGTAAAGGTTTTGCTTTTTGTTTTGGGTTAAAGCTGCTACTGAGAATTGAGTTTCTTTAAAGTACAGGAGAATGTGAATATAGAAGTGTAAGACAGAAATAGAGGAAAGAATTAGGAGGCAAAGGGCACTTATAGCGATCTAAATACTGGCATGTACATATGTAAATATTTATACATAATGATAGGGAAATAAATCTATGTACATATATTAATTTAAGCAGTAAGGCAGCAGACAGACATTGGGCCTCCACTCAACCCAAGAACACTTTGTTCTAATAACTTGGCATTCTGTGATGCTCACCTTCCCTGACATGATTGCTGAAGACAAAGTGGGTGCATAAGCAAGTGTGGTCACCCCCATCAGGGGAAGAACAATAGAAACCAGAGGGTAAGGGAAACAGCAGTTGGTGTGAGATGAAAATACTAACAATCTATAACCTATCAAGGGGCTATGAGGGTTGGGGGGGTGGGGGAAGAGTTGATCCCAAGAGCTCAATGGAAAGCAAATGTCTAGAAAAGAATGATGGCAATATATATACACCAATATATCAGATGCAATGGATGTATGGATTTTAAAAAGTTGTAAGAGCGCCCAATAAAATGATCTAAAAAAAAAAAGCAAGTGTGGTGAAGAAAGCTGATGGTGTCCAGCTATCAAAAGATATCAAGCGGCCATCTAGCTGAGAAGTTAACAAAGTCTACCAGCCTGTGTGATCATGAGGTGTCGAAGGGGTCAGGTATCAAAACAGCCAAAACAATCAATCATATAGATGGGAATGAGGGGGAGTGCAGAGTGGAGACCCAAAGACCATCTGTAGACAATTAGAGATCCCCTTACAGAAGGGCCACAAGGAAGAGACAAGCCAGTCAGGGTGCAGTATAGTGCCAATGCATACACAACTTTCCTCCAATTCTTTGCTACTCCTCCCACCCCCACTTCTCCCTTACAAATCTGGCTAGATAAGAGCATGTGCACAGGTACAGATAAGAGCTGGAAACACAGGGAATCCAGGACAGATAAACCCCTCAGGTCCAATAATGAGTAGCGATACCAGGAGGAGAAGGGGAAAAATGGAGGGGGAGAAAGGGGGCACCGATCACAATGATTGACATATAATACCCCCCTACCCCAAGGATGGAGAACAGAAAAGTGAAGGGAGACAGTGGTCAGTATAAGACATGAAAAAAAAACCCCAAATTATAAATTATCAAAAGATCATGAAGGAGGGAGGGGAAATGAGCTGGTACCAAGGGCTCAAGTAGAAAGAAAATGATGTACAAATGTGCTTGACACAATATTATGTTTGGATTATGAGAAGAGCTGTAAGAGCCCCCAATAAAATGATTTAAAAATGTTATATATATATATATATATATATATATATATATAAAATACGGTAGGTTCCCTCTTTGAGAAGAGAACTAGGGATTCAGAAATGCAAATCAGTTTTGATTACAGGGAATCATCAGGCAATCATTCCAACCCAAAAATAGTTTGTTTAATCAGAGGCTGAGGTGATCTGCCTTTCTCAGGGCTGACAAAAGGGGAGACTACTACAGAATATTCAGGATCGGGAAGCCAGGGTGCCCACTGAAGGCTTGAATCATCTGGCGTGAGGGTCTTAAGTGTTCGATTCTAAGGAGGTTAAGAATGGTTAGAAAATGGACTAAAAGTGGGTCTTTTAGACACTTAAGTCACTCATGGCGTAACTCTAGCACCAGCCACCACTCTGAACGGCCCGTGCCCTCATAACGACGTATACCACTGTCGTTTTTGGTCTGAGATAGCAGCTCTTTTCTTATTCCTACAGTTTTTCTGGAAACGATGAATTCGAAATGTTTCCAGGCTGAGATGCTGTGCAGCCTCAGGCGCTAATAGTGTGCTATGCTGGCCCCTCGTGCCTGTGGCTCCATCTCCAAGTGCTTCTACAAAAGGGCCGACGCGAGCAGATCGTGGTTTCATGTCCACGCGTACACCCCAGCACGGAGCCCAGCGGCCCAGAGGGTTACACACGAAGCGAACCACAGGCTAGCAGCTCCCCGTGGGTGAAAGGAAGCTAACTGCCCCTCCCCACAATAACGATGGGATCTCCTTCCCTCAGAACCCATGTTCAAACCCACTGCCATCCATTCCATTGTGACTCAGTGACCCTACGAGAGGAGAATCGCTCCTAGTTTCAATCTTGATGTTGTTGCAGGAGAATGGCCTGGTCATCCACTTGGAAAATAGTCAATACATTCCCTATGGGGCACAGTCCCACTTGGGGAATGCATTCCAGTGGGCGGTGCCTGTGTGTGGGCTCGGCACAGCATGGAGTTTCAGAGGTTTTGGTCTGTCATCCCCGAGGGCTTTGAACAGAGCCCTGAGGGCACTGTAGGTTGGGCATTGGGCCTCTCACTGTATGGCTGACAGTTCAAACTCATCAGCCACCCCCGGGGAGAAAGATGAGGCTGTCTGCTGCCCTCTATAGAGATTGAGAGTTTTGGAAGCCCTATAAGGATTCCTATGAGTGAGAATCGACTCGATGGCAGTGGGTTGTTTTTTTTTAAGCTTTGGTGGTCTCTGTGGACCTTACACCAGGAAGGGTAATTGTATCTGTAGCCAGAACAACACTAAATACACAAGACACAAACACAGGAACCACATCCATTTTAATTGAGAATTACTAGTAGCCCTTGGGTTTATCAGTAGTATAATTTTAATGTGGAAGACAAAACTGCTCATAGCAACCAGAAGAATTTCAAATGCAACTCTTTAAAACTATATACTTCTAGAACTTCCACATTCAAGCAATTCTTGAAAAAGAAGGCTCTTAAAAAAAAAAAAGAAAGCTTTTTGTTTCAAGTACGAGGAGTTATTAATGTTCCTCTGTTTTGGTCTCCCCACACCCTTTACAGAACAAAATAAAAACAAACAAAAAAACCCAAAAACAAACCACAAACTGAAAAAGGGATAATAAATTCAAAAGAAAATAAATCTAATGAGTATGAAATTAGTTTATTTTCACCTCAAAATAAATGCTTAACATTTTCCCAAAATCAAAACCAAAGGTTCTCACTTAGAAAAAGGGTGAGTGTTCTACTGTAGACTCTCCATAGGGCTAGTCTAAGCAAAAACACAACCAACCAACAAAACTCCCCTCTTGTCAGTGATACCCCACCCTCCCCGACCCCCGTCCCTGTGCTGTACCTGGCAGGAAGAAAGTAAACCCCGGGCTCCCAACAACAAAGAACATGAGATTTGAAAGGTTGGGGAAAGCTTTGAAACATGTAACCAATTCTTCATATATAATTAGCTGAGGTGTCCGACCGCTGGGTTGACGTGTAAGGATGAGGCCAATCACTGAGATGCGACTCAGCCACCTCTCTTAATTCACCATAGAGAGGTCTTAAAATTGAATTTCAGTTTTAGCAGGTACTTCAGATTTACCTGAGCGATATCGTAGACAATGTACCTAGAGGGGAAGCATGTCAAGGAGCAAACAGTCTCACCTGGGTGTATGCAAGCAGCGTCCCCTTGCTGGCGCCAACTCAAGGGCAGGCAAAGACACCTGCTCTGGCAGCTGCTCAGAGTTACTCTGAGTGTTTCCCATGGGTCAGGGCTGGTGCCCCTCAGCCCACTTCCCCAGATTTCTATGAGGCCGGGCCATCAGACCCTGTTGGCCTGGTAGACCAGTGGAGAGTTAAATCTCTAACTCTGGATAGAAACCATCGAGGTTGAGGGGTAATATTCACCTTGAGACACAATGCAGGACAGTTTCTAATGTCTCGAACATCCCTTTGGGCTCACACAGCAGACTCATCAAAGGATACTCATTATATAGCAGACAAGTATCGTTAACGCCAGATGAAATCCCAGTTCCAAGCGGAACCTCTACACCATCCAGAGTAATACTAGCTGCAGGATCAGGAGTAGTTTTGCCCAAACCTACAAATAGAAGGTGGAAGTTATAAGAAATGTGAAAAAAGATGTTGAAAATGTTTCAGGAAGATGAGATTGATTTCCTGTTGGGCTTTTGTGTTCACATTAAAGACATAAATAAATCCCATACTTAATATCCCTTTTCTAGATATAAAACTCTACGTTGCCAGGGCATTATTAGCCTTAATTGATTTTAATGAAAAACAGTAGCGGGCCACTAAGGGGTCACATTTCACAATTCCAAGGCAGCCACTTTATGGACGTAGAGGCACTAAAACTCAGCAGTTCTCAACCTGTGAGTCACAACCCCTGGGGGGGGTGTGTGTGTATGTCAAACGACCCTTTCACAGGGGTCGCCCAACTCATAACAGTAGCAAAATTACAGTTATAAAGTAGCAATGAAAATAATTTGATGGTTGGGGGTCACCACCACGTGAGGAACTGTATGAAAGGGTCGCGGCATGAGGAAGGTTGAGAACCTCTGCACTAACGGGTCATGTGCTAAGAACTCCAGTCATCCGGAATGCTCCAGGTGCCACCGTATGAGGAGAAGGCAGCAGCTGAAACAAGTTAAATCCCAAAGCTAGTGTACCTGGTGCTGGTGTGCAACCGAAGATTCCTTTATGGCACCTGCCATCCTAGCTGCAGCCATCAAGTAAAATGGTTTTTAATGAAGGCTAGGCTGTTAACCTCAAGGCACCCTTGAGGAAAAGAATCCTTCCCTCCTATGCAGTTTAGGGTGTCCTGACCCAGCATAACCTGGTGAAACCCATTACCTTTCACACTGTGCTTGCCCTTGGGTAACTTGCTGATATGGGAAGCATGCTTCAGTTCATACCTATTCAAGAGAAAACAGTCTCAAAGATCCCCTTAAAGACAGCCGGCTCTACAATCAACAGTGTGGCTGGCAGAACAAGATCATGAGAGAAGACAGGACTAGTATCTCCAGAGAACCCCATCCAGACTCACTGCTTTGAGCTCCCACAAACCTCCAGAGACTGAAGTTCTTTTTTGAAGAGTTTGTGTCCAATTATCACTGTCTTGGTCATTTTTCAAGGAAAGGGCTTGTTTGCAGTTGTGGTAGATCGCTCTGGAGGTATCTGTCCATCCATTATAATCCTTAGACCTCTGGGCTATCATTTAACCATGCTCTATTTGATTATAGCCAACAGGATCAAGGTGCACCCCGTGATCAAAGTTGGGCCAATAAAACTTTCCATGGGGAATTTGGAACTGGGACTACTAGGCTTATCGTTCAAACTGGGTTGATTCGAAAATGTACACATCTTGGGAGCTATGTGTGCAACCTTTGTATAAGTCAACCTCTCTGCTTGCTAAGTCATGGACCACGTAAATGTTGCCTTCATTTGGAATCTTCTAAGTTCCTCAGGCCCGGCTGTCTTCCTGCCCCTGGGTTTTTTGTGGCATTCCTCTATTTCCCTAATTCACCGATTTTGAACTGGTTCTACTACTTATAAGCAGAGTTTTCACTGGCAGGATTAGTACCTATGGAACTTCTACTGTCATCTCTCAGCCAAGGGGGAATCTCCTTCTTACAGCCCACTTGTTCCACTTGTGCCACCAGATGCGGAGCCAGGTTTACTTACATATTTCCAAGAGCAACTTCTCCCAAAAGGATTAATCCTATTGGGTCTCCCTGAGATGTGTGGCAGTAGTTGGCACTCTTAGAGACCATGTCGGCGAAATAGATTCCTTTACCAAACATGTAGCCAGTCTGTAGGATCAGAAAAGGAACAACTGAAAATCTGGTCATGGGAAATTAGTAGCAGCCATTATTTATTGTCTACTGTGACTACAAATACATCCTTGGAGATTGATATCACAGGAATTAGTGAGCTGGACTGGAATTGGGCATCTTGAACCAGACAAACAGTCTACTATGCCAGGAATGGTACAGAAATAGGAGAGAAATGGCGTTACAGTCATTCTAGAAAGAACAAAACCATTTCAAGATTTAGCCTTAAGTATAATGCTGTCAGTAATAGGATCCATATGCCTACAAGCAGGACCAGCTAATACATGACTGCTATTCAAATTTCCACCAACTTCTTTTGTCTGAAATACATAAAAATTGCCATCAAGATGCATTGATAATTACTGGTGATTGAAATACAAAAAGGGACTAAGTATGGACTCAATGATAGAAATGCTGGAGATTCCACGACAATTTTGCAAGACCAAAGACTTATTTATAGCAAAAACCTTTTGTTCCTCCAACAACATAAATGGTAACTGTACAGGGATTATATCAATTACATTTTGGGAAAGAAATAAAGAGATAATAGAGATGCTCAATAGCATCAGTCAGAACATAGACAGGTACTGGTTGTAGGACAGACTTGTAGCTGCTTATATGCAAGTTCAAGCCGAAGCTGAAATATATATTAAAACAAGCCATGAAAGCCAAAGTACAAGCTTGAGAACATCTACCCTAATATTAGAGGCCATTTCAAGAATAGATTTAATGCACTGAGGTCAGCTGGCTTGTGGGGTGATAGCAAGGTCACACTAGGCATCAAGAAACAAAAAAGTCATTAAAAAGCAGAAGAAGGTAGAGACCAAAATGGATGTCAGAATAGACTCTGAAACTTACAGGATATCTTGACTTTAGAACTGACGACCGCACTTGAAGGATGGGAATAATCTTGCTATCAGCATTGTAAACTTGATTACGGTCAATGTAATTAGGTTAAAATGTAATACCTGGGAAACATTTGATCTCCCTTTTGATCCATTTAAAATTTGTGCTAGCTTTTAATATTTCCTGCTTTTTAAAAATTGATCAAGGTTTTATTGTTGTTAGTCTTTTCATATACATTTTCTGGCTTTTCTTTCTTTTTCTTAAGGTATGTTTTCCAGTACATGAAATCTGGGATAGGTGGATCTTCAGAGGCAGTAACTGGTATAAAGGCTTATACGGAAGATCAGGCGAGGAGGTTGGAGGATAATGGGGAGCTAATAATGAATACAGAAGGAAAAACAGAAACATTGTGGTAATGTTTATACAACTCTTTAAAAAAAGAATGAACCATGGAAGTGTATGATATATGAATTATATTTCAATGAAGTTATTTTTTTTAAAAAGATATTCCGGACTGCTAAAGGACAAGCTGATCTACTGGAAGATGTACAGATAGAGTGCTCCTTATAGGCAAGAATGGCAATACTTTGTCTTACATACTTTGGACACAATGTCAAGAGAGACCAGTCTTTGGAGGACATCATTCTCAGAGGAACAAGAAAAAGAGAAAGGCCCCCGGGGCAACAAGATGGACTGACAGAGTGGCTGAAAGAATACTCAAGCATAGGAACGATTGTGTGGATGGTGCAGGACCAGGCAGTGTTTCATCGTGTTGTGCATGAGCGTTGGAATCGACTCAGTGGCACTAACAACAACTGGTCCAAGCATGCACAGAAACCACTACCCACCAACATGACTTTCAGATATTTGAGCTCACAGCCCAACCCAACCACACACTTTTGTTCGTCAGTACCAGAAGCCCCTGTGAAGGATTTCATCTTGAAGGAACTATTGTACACATCTACTTAACATGCCCAGCCCTATCTAATGAATAAACATAATGTTTCTTCCCACCCCAGAAGCCTTTATTGACCTAACCCTAACAATGTTTGTTCCAGGAGTTGGGTGGGGGTTAAGCATTGCATAGACTCTCCCTGCCTCCATGTGCTGACTCTAATAAACTTTTTGCTTGTGAGGAAAAAAAAGAAAAGACGATGCTAACATGCTCTGCATTTCTCAAACGGAAAGAACTGGAGAAAAAATTCAAGCCTCCAGTTGTAATACTGATGGATTCAAGGGGTAAAATAGTGGACAAGAGAGGAAACACCTAAAGAAGATGGAGAAAATACACTCACTATATCAAAGGGAATTGGCCGATGCTGCACCATTTTAAGAAACAGCATATGATCAAGAAGCACAGGTCTGAAGGAAGAAGTCCCAGCCGTACTAAAGGCATTGGCCAAAGACAAGGAACCAGGAATTGACAGAATACCAACTGAGATGCTTGAACAGACAGAGGGCTGGAAGCGCTCACTACTCTGTGCCAGGAAATTCTGAAGGCAGATACCTGGTCCAGTGACTCTAGGAGAGCTAGTATTTGTCCCCATTCCAAGAAAGGTGGCCTACCAAACAGTGGAAAACATCAAACAGTAATATTCAACACAGGTGACATTTTGTTGAAGATAATTTTTTAAATGTTCGAGCAGAACATGAACAGGGAATTGCCAGGTTCACGAGAGGGCATGGAATAGGGATATCATGGAAGCAGAGAACACCAGAAAATTTTCATGTGTTTATTGACGGTGCAGAGATTTGACTGTGTGGATCATGACAAATGATGGATAACATTGCAATGAACGGGAATTCCAGAACACTGCATTGTGCTCATGCAGAATCTGTACAGAGATGAAGGCAGTCATTGAAATAGAATAAGGGAATATAACATGGTTTAACATTGGAAAGGGGTGCACTTGGGTTGTATCTCTCAATATACTTAGCTCAATTTGTATGAAGTGCAAATACTCTAAGATGGATTGCATAAACAAGAAGATTAGAGGAAGACTCATTTACAAACTGGTAAGCAGAAAATACAATCTTACTTGCTGAAATTGAGGGACTCGAGGAACTTATTGACGAAGATCAAAGAATACCCTTCAGTCTGGATCACACCCCAACATACAACTGACCAATAAGCAACATCATGAAAAACTGAGAAAAGAACGAAGCTGTCAACGGTTTCATTTTACTTTGATCCACAATCAACATCCATGGAAACACTCATCAAGACGACTACAAAAGGCCTCTTTATAGAGAGTTCAAACGCCTGGATGCCACGAATGTTGAGAATGAGGATGGCAACAAATGTACAAATGTGCTTGACACAATAGATGTATGTATGGACTGTGATAAGAGTTGTATAAGCCCCCAATGAAATGATTTAAAAAGAAAGAAAAATCAACAAAAGTACCACTTTGAGGACTAAGGTGCTCCTGAGCCAACCCATTATATTTTCAGTCACCTCATATGCATGTGAAAGCTGGACAATGAGTAAGGAAGAAGACAGAATTGACGCCTTTGAACTAGGGTGTTGGCAAAGAATACCGAATATACGATGGCCCAACAAGAATGAACAAATCAACTTCAAGAGAAATACAGCCAGAATGTTTCTTTGAAGGGCAGATGAGACTTTTGTCTCGTGTACTTGGGACATGTTATCAGGAGGGACCAGGACCCTGAAAAGGACATCATGCCTGGTAAATCAGTTGGGTCAACAAAAATGAGGAAGATCCGCAATAAGATGGACTGACACAGTGACTTCAACAATGGGCTCAGATACAGCAACTATGATAAGGATGCTGTAAAGCCACATTTCACTCTGTTGTACATAGGTCACTAGGAACCAGAACCTATCCAGTAACATCAAAAACAGTCCAATGGGAACAAAGTTAAGGGTTGCAACATGCCACTTCCAGTTCCCATAATGCCCCTGGCCAGCTCAGTGTCAAGGCTTGAGCTCAAAAGGCAGACTCCTCAAATGCCAACTGTGCCAGGCACTTAGTGGCCTTGAGAAGTCACTGCAACATTCTGGACCATATTTTCCTCTTCCTGAACCCGATAGAAATAATCACACAGGGTTACTGTAAAAATTAAATGAGGCAATAAATGTTACTTACATTAGTGCCTGGCAAATGTAAACACCTAATAAATGTTGAGTATTTTTTCTAAACACTCTTTATAAATGAAATCTGAGGTTCAATGATTTGCCTAAGCCTCATACTGCTTAGCACTAGGGGAGTCATTAAACCTTTGTGTAGTACGAGGCTTGGAAGGCTACATCCACCCTAAATTCCCATCCAGCCGTTCACTTTCACAATCCAGCAGTGATGTAACAACCCTCCCGGCCTGGGCACTATTCATCATTGTGTTTTATTGATAAAGAGACCACAGGAAGCAGCACAGAGAGGTCAGCTGGCCTGGGGCCAAAGGTGTTCTTTCCACATCACCACATCCAATCAGCATGCCATAGCAGACCCTAGACAGGTCTACAGATGAGGGTCAGGAGAAGGAGAGGGAAGTTGCGATCACCTTCAGGGACTGGAGAGGCTGCCTGGTAACATGAACTCTAGCCACAGCTGTGCCAACACTGGCTCTTTATAAACAAGGCAGATACTCATCAGCACATCTCAGACCTAAGTATCTACCAATGCAGACATTGGTCTGACCCATCCTCACACCCCCCGGAAGGGCGGCACCTACCACAGGTGCTTCTGGTGGGGCAATCCGGAGACCCTGGGAAAGGATGCCGGCAAAGTTGGTGGTCCTGGAGCCGTGCCAAAGCAGCCTTCGATTGTGAAGCTGCGTGAAGGGCTTGTAGCGCTGGTTCTCCCCTTCCCGCTCTATCTTGAAGATCTGGAACGGAAGGGCGGGGAGGGGTTAAGACAAAGATAAAAGAAGTCTAAGAGAAACGTCTGACCATGTACAGGAGAAAGGACCAGTGTGTCCTGAGAGCTAAAAAGGCACGGTTTGTTGCAGTACATAAGCTTGTCTCAATCAGGCTGGGATGGAGTGACTTGACTTGTCAAAGCACCGTCAGTAGACTGGCTATTAAAATTCTTATGACGTGCAGCACACATTACCTGAGTAATGTGACTTTGGACCTCTGATAATTAGATTTCCTGACTCTAAAGCTGCTAGGTTTTGGGAAAGGAAATGTCTTTTAAGACAGAATAAAGGCTACCCTGGATCTAAACGATGACTCATTATTCTGCTGAACAACTGAGTGACTTCACCTAGGCCTAGGTGGGGGTGTGAGCAGGGAAGCTGGCAGGTGTGGGGGGGCAGGGGTTCTCACATCAATGACTTCCAAGTCATAAGCGTTGTGTGTGGTTGCATGAGTGTTCTTAACGTATTTTCTGATGATCTCGGCTTCTTCAGAATCTCTGTCAACCACCTAGGAGAAAAGAGTCTCAGGATTAGTGCAAGGGAGAACCAAGGAAAGAGAGACCCAGGGCCCTAGGCAGGCACAATGGCTCAAAGGTTCAGCTGATGGCAGGTCAATCGTCTCCTTCATTTGATGGGCTGCCCTAGAACCTCAAAGTTCCTTTTGTCATAAGTTTCTATGTTTTGAGCTATCAGGAAAGCTAGAAATGCGGGGTTCACTGTCTATGAACAGAAAGGTTCTAGAACAGCTGTTCTCAACCTGAGGGTCGCGACCCCTTTGGGGGGTCGAACGACCCTTTCACAGGGGTCACCTAAGACCACCGGAAAGCAGAAATATTTCACAATATACAACTAATTGTTTTGTGATTAATCACTATGCTTTAGTTATGTTTAATTATGTTCAATTTGTAACAATGAAAATACATCCTGCATATCAGATATTTACATTACGATTCATAACAGTAGCAAAATTAGTTATGAAGTAGCAACGAAAATAATTTTATGGTCGGGGGGGGAAGATGATCACCACAACATGAGGAACTGTATTAAAGGGTTGTGGCATTAAGAAGGTTGAGAACCACTGTAGTGCATGGTGTGCTAAAACCAATCTGGGTCCAGAAGACATTATATAGTCTATACTATACCCTTCAAAATGGGTAGCCTGCACTTACAAGTGGCCAGGATAGATCAACTCCAGGGGCTTTGAGGAGAGGATGACTGCGCGTGTATTTCTGAATCCTCAAAGTCACACATAGCATGCTGACTCAGTATGACCAATAAACAAATTAGGTACACAGGGCTGTATGATGGAAGAGTCAAGATATGCTTTCTTACACTGATTCAAAGTTCAGGAAATCTAGGAATCCTGGTCTTTCTCATTGCTTCCTAAGGAAAAGGCTTCAGAATTTTAAATGGAGACAGTGGTAACCCGTTTGGAGTTTCAAGGCCATGCAAACAGGTCCATTGGAAGAAAGGCCAGGTGGTTTGCATCTGAAAACCAACTACTGAAAAGTCCATGGCACGTGGTTCTACTCGGCTGCACACGGGATTGCTATGAGTTAGAGTAAACTGAATGGCAGCTGGTACTGGTACTGGTCCTTCAAAAAGAACCATCCATGCAGCTCTCCCATCAAGCAGGCAGCCCAGCAGCCAAACAGGCAACCTTTGGTGACTTCTGCTTCGCCCACAGAGCAATGCTTTGTCCTAAGCAGAGAGCATAGGCTATTTTTTTTAGCGGTTTACACACTACGCCTGGCAGAACAGAATCTAGTGTTTAACCCTTATTAACACCTCAGGGAAGCAGGCAGGAGCAGAACCGCCTGGCTCAAGGCCAAGCACGCCAGGAGTGGAACACATCGCTAGCCTTTGGTTGGCCTAGGCAGGGTGGTTTCAGCCTGAGTGCCCAACACACTAAACTTAAGGACTAACTATTGCCCGGAGATCATCTTTAAACCTTAATGATCCCCCAAAGTTTTCTTAAAACCAAACAACACTGTATCTTCTCTCGCCAAGAATGTCCTTGAACCCCGTGCTCTTTGAAGAACCACCTTCCAGAAAGAACAACTTGACAGGCAGGGTGTCCGTACGCCTCAGAGTGCAATCCCCGCCACTGAACGGTACCTACAGAAACGGTTCTGCCTGGGTGTATTCTCAACGAAAGTAAAACTGAGGGTTATTTTTTTTTTAAGTTCAAGGACTGTGTGTGCAACACCAGGGCCACTTCAACCCCGAAGAAAAGTCAATCTAAGCATTGTGTTTTTTCCCACAGCTGCCACCAGCCATTTACATTTCTGAAACAGCAAACTGGAAGTAAGGCCTGCAGGTTTATGCCCCGTCCCAGAATAACAAACGGCAGCCAGCACTCCTCTCTAGGTTCAGGAGTCCCAGGGAGGTGTGAACACCTACAGTGCCAAGAGGTGTCCTAGAGGAAAAGCCGGACGAACCCTCAGCGATAACCCCGTGGAGTACAGTTCTATTCGGACAAACAAGGCAACCAGTTTCTAGATGGGTGGGTGGGGTGGTGGTGGTTCTTTAGCTCCTTGAAAATCAGTCTTTATTCCAAGATGAGCTCTTGTCTGGGAGCCTGCTTTGCAAACAGGGGAATTATTTACAGGTGAAATCCCTTGACGTTCTCAAAGAAGCATCAGATCTCTGGGCTGCAGCGGGCTCTCCAGCGACCCCGATGCAGATCAGGTGAGGGAACTACCGCTCCTGTGCTGAGTGTGTAGGAGGCTTCAGTAAGGGCAGCCATGTTACCTTAATCTCCGTCTTGAGCTTCTCGTAATTCACATCGATGGGGTCCTTGCTGCTGTCATCAGACCCGCCCCTAAGAAGACTGTAAGCCACCTCGATATCCAGAAGGTTGTCCAGCATTTCTACTTTGGCCTGGAGGAGCACAAGAGAAGCCTCAGGTTAAGAGCCGAGATTGCCCTCGTCATTCTCAGAACATTTGCTCTCCCCTGGCATCGGCTCATTTTTACCCCCTCCCTCATGAGCCCTTGATAATTTATAAATTATTATTTTGTCATATCTTGCCCTGTCCGACGTCTCCCCCGTCACCCACTTTTCTGTTGTCTGTCCCCCAGGGAGGTCACATGTAGATCCTTGTAATCGGTTCCCTCTTTCCAACCCACCCTCCCAGTATCGCCACTCACACCACTGGTCCTGAAGGGATCATCCGCCCTGGATTCCCTGTGTTTCCCGTTCCTATCTGTACCAGTGTACATCCTCTGGTCTAGTCAGACTTGTAAGGTAGAATTCAGATCATGATAGTGGGGAGCGTAGGGGCGCGCATTTAGAAAGTAGAGGAAAGTTGCATTTTCCATCGTTGCTACATCGCACCATCTGGCTGGTCTCCTCCCAGAGACCCCTCTGCAAGGGGATCTCCAGTGGCCTACAAATGGGCTTTGGGTCTCCACTCTGCACTCCCCCCATCATTCACTATGGTTAAGATTTCTTGTTCTGATGATGCCTTATACCTGATCCCTTCGACACCTTGTGATTGCACAGGCTGGTGTGCTTCTTCCATGTGGGCTTTGTTGCTTTTGAGCTAGATGGCCGCTTGTTTACCTTCAAGCCTTTAAGACCCTAGAAGCTATACCTTTTGATAGCCAGGCACCATCAGCTTTCTTCGTCACATTTGCTTATGCACCCATTTGTCTTCAGCAATCATATCGTGGAGGTGAGCACACAATGATATGATTTTTTGTTCTTTAACACCGGATAACTGATCCCTTCGGCACCTTGTGATCACACAGGCTGATGTGTTCTTTCATGTGGGTTTTGTTGCTTCTGAGCTAGATAGCCGCTTGTTTACTTTCAAGCTTTTAAGACCCCAGACTCTCTATCTTTTGATAGCCGGGCACCATCAGCTTTCTTCACCACTTTTGCTTATTCACTCGCTTTGTCTTCAGCGGTTGTGTTGGGAAGGTGAACATCATAGAATGCCAATTTAGTAGAAGAAAGTATTCTTGCATTGAGGGAGTACTTGAGTGGAGGTCCAATGTCTTTCTGCTACCTTAATACTAAAACTATAAATATAAGCACATAGATCTATTTCCCCATCCTCATATATAAATATATTTGTATATGTACATGTCTTTATCTAGACCTCTATAAATGCCCTTGCCTCCCAGCTCTTTCCTCTATTTCGCTGGACTTTCCTCCTGTCCCACTATCATGCTCAGTCCCCACCAGGGTTTCAGCAATTCCTCTTTGTTAAGTTATCCTTGATCATGCCCTACCAGGCCTCCCACACCCACCTCACCACCAACTTGGATCACTTGTTGTTCCCTTGTCCCTGGGTTTGTTAACACCACTTCCTTTTATTGACACAAACTTACTAGAGAAATAATCATACATTTTGTCTAACATAATGTGTGAAATTTTAGAAGCATGACTTGCTCAATTTCCAAAAATAAATAAATGCACTCTAGCTCTTGAACATAAACATTAAAAAATAAAGTACCAAAAAAGATCTCTCAGATAATAGCATACTCAATTACATAATGCATGTTCTATTCCAAAACTTGCTCTAATTCAAGATATTTACTTCCTAAAACACATGTCTTCGTTGTGAATCTTTCAGTCTGTTTCCATGGCAACATTTCGGGATTCCTTGGCTACCCTAAGCTGCATTAGTTGACTGTGGAATTTCTCAACTGCTTTACATCTTGAGCTTAGTCTGCTCTGTGCTTGAGACAAACTAAATCACCATTTATGTTCACACACAGACTCCCTATAGTATGCCTGTATTTAAGAACCACATGTGGCTTCATTGGGTCAGTGAGGTAAAGCTGCTTGGTGGCTCGGCTAACCTCCTGCCAGTTCTGGTACTGGTGGAGAGCGGAGGGTGGCAGATCATAGGCTCAGTCCAACCACCCATACCTCCCTCCTTCCCGGGGTCACCAGCCCACTCAGGAGTCTGATTTCTTGTAATGCTCTCTGGGACACGTGAGAGGTGGAGTTTAGATGGCCGAGGGGAGAACTATCTTTCTCTCTCACACACCCTGGTGCCAGGTGACAACTACACTAAAGATGCTACAAATCACCAGGAGCCAGCTTCGCCACCTCACGAGGCAGAGGAGAGTAGATGGTGCCAGAAGGAAATTATTCTTCTTCTCCAGTGGCTTTTTCTCCAAGATGGCCTCGGAAGGGGCATGAGACAGGACCAACACCTTTGTGCCCAACACACCTGCAGTTCCCTGAACCCTGGGTGGCATACCTGTACACTGTCAGCATTATTCAGGAGAGGAGGCTTCTTCATCCCGAAGTCGTGAGGGATCAGGGTATAGAAGCGATTTGAGAGATCCAGGATCTGGGAGTCGCTGCTGCCCTGGGACACTGCCTGTAGGGAGGAAGAGTCCAGAACGGGACCTCAGACACAGCTCTCAGCCCCCAGGATCTGTCTTTAGAAAACGAATGCTACAGTTGAGTCCAGGGCTAGCAGTGTTCACACATGAGCCAGAACACTAAGGACGAGTACCAAGAGGCCACACTCAAGACATGGCAGGATCCCCATGCTCTCCAACAGTAGTTTAACACACAATGGACTTCCCTAGAAAAATTTCATTTGTACAGAGAAGTGCGGTATTCCAAAACAAGATGCTAACACTGCGCCTGGAAGATGTGTGTGTGTGAACGGACAAGGGAGGCGCGGGGAAGCTGGTAAGGGCTTAGAAAATGTTGACTGACCAATGGATGAGAAATATTTAGCCTTCTCTACTGGATGATTTCTAAGCATCTGGAAAAGAAACTCAGCCCAACCCTTAAAGAGGATCCCTGGTTGTGCAGTGGGTTAAGCACTGGGAAATGCGGGTCCAGAGATCAGTGAATCAAAGCCACCAAACCCTGGCCGTTTTCTCCCATTAAGATTTACAGGCTCAGCAACCCCATAGAGCAGCTCTACTCGGCCCCGTGGGAATGGTCCCAACAGAAGAGGGTTTAGGTTTTGGGTTCAACCCTGAAGGACACCAACACAATCAAACCAGAACTATTTATTTTTCTATTAAGGACGCTGTTGGTGGGTGACCCTTGTGACAAAACAGAACAGTGCCTTAATCCTAGGCCCGAGGCAGACTGCCAAGTCTTTCCTATGGAGCCACTGGGTGGGTTCGAACCACCAAACCTTTGGTTAGCAGCTGAAACGTCCAACTAACCATAGGGCCACCAGAGGACAACCCACCTCTTCAACTGTTGTAGGGGGTTTAGTACATATCTAACAGTGGAAACCATGGCTACTCATTGGTTTTCTATATAGCAGTCCTTTGCCATTTATCAGTGAGGCTGACAATTCCAAAGGCTTGTGTAGTGTGCCTTAGTACTCCTTGTTGCCTGGGAATGGTGTGTGGGCCACTGTGGGCTGTTTTCCACTGTGAATGAGAAGCAAACCTCTTGCTTACCTGTTGGACTTCACTGAGGATGGAGTATGCTGCCTGGATTTGCCTTTTGCTCAGCTTCCCCAAGGGCATCTTCTGAAGGTCGATCTGGAGGGAGAGAGAGAGAAGAGAAGGGATTTCCCCTTTGAAGCAGGCATCACGGAGTGTGGGGAGGGGAGTGCTGGCCTGGGGTCGGCCACGAACACAAGGAGCCTGCCCGGGCCTGTGCAGAGCAGGGCTATGGGGCAAGCACATGTGAAGAAGGCATCTACTCACTTCATCTATGTTGGGATGGACATTTCTCTACCCCATGCTCGGTCTGACATCACCTAGCACTTCTCAAAGAAGAGACAGCCTAATTTCTGTCCACCTCCAAAGCAAGGGAGAAGGTCAGTCTGTCCTGGCTTCCCATCTTAGACTGCCCTAGGGGGCCTTCTCTGGGAGCCCAGTGTCCAGGCAGTAAGTCTATAGGGAGGCTGTGACATAACCGTGTTCTCTAACGAGCTGAACTTCTAAAAGGGACTCCAGTCCAGGTATCTGTGGGAGGCGAGGAAGAGGCCGAATACCATCCAGGAAGGGACAAGGCTGGTTAGTGCCTCTCGCCCTCAGTTGGTGCCTAGGAATCCAGGGTAAACAAAGTCATCAACCCACCACAACTGCTTTCAAGAGCAGCCTGAAGGCTCTGGGCTTGGTGGCTAGGGGAGGGAGGGTCCTAGTTATGTTGTATCTGTGACTGTGAACTTGTTAATAGAGCCTTTGGAGATGGTAACAGCCGGTCGGTCAGCACTAGAGTAAGGTGGATCTTAACCCTACATGATTGGTGTCCCAATATACGTATGGAACAGACCCAGACACCAGGAGGGCCATATGAAGAGTCACGGACCGTCAAGGCACACTTCAGGCTATCAGACGATCAAGGCTCTTCCTCCAGAAACATTAGAGGACAGGGCCTCGCCAGCCCCTCAGAGGGAGACTAACTCGGACTTCCATGCTCCAAAATTGTGAGATAAAACATTTCGGACGCTATATGTCGAGGTGTTTTTGTTCGCTATGGAATTGATACGAGGCCTCTGACTTGTGATACGCAGGTTGAAAACGGATAGAAGGAATTGGAATGCTGAAAGAAACAAGAACAGCTGCAGAGTTTGTCAATGGCCCAGCGCTTAAATCCTCATCCCTGGCAAACACAGCCTTAAAAAACAATCATAAAGTGTTATAACCTCATATTCCACCATGGCCTTCTTCATACTTTCCACATCAAAGATCATCTTAATGAGCTCCTGAACTGGTCTGGCGAGCTTGGACTTGGTGCCAGGGTTTATTGTTAGCTTCTTCACTGCCTCTTCATCCTTCAGGAAAAAGACACCCAATCAGACATATCCAGGTCTCACAATCCCAGCAAAGGGTAGGCTGCGGATAAGGGCATAAAATGGAGTGCTGTCAGCACAGAGGGCTGTGTGTTAACCAAAAAAGGTTCAGGCAATGCTTCCAACAGGGAGGATGCCCCTCCAGCAGATCTAGTTTCCTGGTCCAGCGGCCACTGCAGCACCTCCTTGACTCTAGCCTGCAGGTGCTCTTGCTCCCTTGAGGCTCTCCCCGCCTGTGTTTCACCTTTAACTTGGGCTGTTGATGCATTACCTGCCAGGGGCCAACGATGCACAACCTGGAAGGACTGGAGCTGTGATGGGAACCTTAGACCAACAACACATCCCTCACCCAACAGACCATTAGAAATGTGTCTATACAACCTTCTTGTACAGCCCCACAGGATCACATCATTAGTCCAGTTGACTGCCAGCCAGTGATGAGTTAAAATGCATCTTACTATGAACAACTCCTCCCCCATCTTGCTTGCCATTCATCACACACTGCTCCCTGGGGCTACGATCCCTAATCAACTAACAGCACTTGAGCCTCTGCGATCTAGAGGATACAGGTTCCCTGTACTGAAACTGCCTTAACGACCTCACTTTGGAGAGCAGGGACTGCACCCTGACCCTCAATGTGCCCCTTCAGTTAATGTGGTAGCTGGTGTTTTCAGGAACATAACTGGCACTGGGCTCTACCTGGCTCACCCAGGCTGTAGTGCGCTAATCTGGGCATCAAAGCCAGTTCTGTGGTGGCTGCTGTTAACTACGGCAAATACGTTCGCTGGAATACTGGGTTTTTTATGTACTCTCTTACTCGCTGGGCCTACCTTCACTGGGAGGGCTACTTATCGATGTTAAAAAGTTGTCTTTGAATGTGATCCAGTTAACTCCACTTCTAAGAGAAATGACCATAGAGGCACAATTGTGGCTTATTCTTGTGCTTCTGTTCTTCAGAGGAAGCCCTGGTTATGTACTGGGCTACTAACCACAAAATCAGGAGATCAAAACCACCAGACACTCCCAGAGAGAAAGATGAGGCTTTCCACTCTTGTAAAGAGTTACAGTCCCATGGTCGGTCTGCAGCCTTTTGTTGTAGTGGTCGCTGCCCCCAGTGGCGACTCCCCTCCCCGCCCCAGCCCCGGTCCCCACCCAGCAGCTGACGCGGAGATGGGCAGTTCAGAGGAGGTGTCCTGGATCTCCTGGTTCTGTGGGCTCCGTGGTAATGCATTCTTCTGTGACGTGGATGAAGACTACATCCAAGGTAAGTTCAACCTCACAGGACTCAATGAACAGGTTCCCCGCTATCGACAGGCTCTAGACATGATATTGGTCCTAAAGTCTTATGAAGAGCTGGAAGACAACCCCAACCAGATTGAGCAGGCGGCAGAGATGCTGCGTGGATTAATCCACTCCCGCTACATATTCACCAACCATGGCATCACCCAGATGTTGGAAAAGTACCAGCAAGGAGATTTTGGCTACTGTGCCCGTGTGTACTGTGAGAACCAGCCAATGCTTCCCTTTGGCCTGTCAGACGTCCCAGGTGAGGCCATGGTGAAACTCTACTGTCCCAGATCATGGATGTGTTCACACCCAAGTCATTCAGGTGGCACCGCTTGGATGGTACCTACTTTGGCATTGGCTTCCCTCACATTCTCCTTGTGGTGCACCAAAGTACTGATCCAGCAGGCCTGTCCACCAGTTTGTACCGAGGCTCTATGGTCTCAATATCCACCCGATGGCCTACCAGCTGCAGCTCCAAGCCGCCAGCAACTTCAAGAGCCCAGTCAAGACGATTCGCCGACCTTCCACCGGGTCCTCAGTCTTTGACACCCGTTCCTTTGTTGCCGCCCCCCAGTAATCATCGATGGTTTTCAGTTTAAATTAAAAGGGTCGCTATTGTGGGGGGCATATGAAATAAAATGGAAGGCCACACACACAAGAGTTAGTCTTGGAAAACCACAGGGGCAGTTCTACCCTGTTCTACAGGGTTGCTATGAATCAGAACCAACTTCTTGGCAGTGAATTTGTTTTTTTAGTTTTTAAAAAAATGTTCTGCAGAGTCACCATGAACACTGAGTCAATACTGAACCCTTGGTTCTAGGGGGTCAAACAGAATATTCCCGTGAGCTTCTATTTGAACTACTTTTATTTCAGTACATCTTTATTTTATGTGTTTCTATTTAAAGACATCTTTAAATAAATACTGTTGACTCATTAGCATTCAACTCACAGCCAGTCGGTCTACGTGAACAGGCTTATCTGACACATGCCATTTCCTCTGGAAGGCCTTAGGTACACCAGAGGGCATTTCAGCACTACACTGGTGACCATTTCAATCCCATGCCACTAACAAAAAGCACAAAAACGTGAAAACTGGCACCAGGCTGACTGCAAAAAGACAGCTGCATACAGGCGGTAGAGTCTCTCTCCATGTGACTTCAGCTGGGAGCAGGGGACTCAGGGGTGTACGTCTGAAAGCGCCGTCCAATAAAAAATGCATTTTAGCAAGGGGACCGATTCACCATATCTGTGAAGAGTGCGACCTGCGTCGTAAATCAGCCTCCTGATAGCAACTATCTCAGAATAATTCAAATGTCTAAGAGGGCAGGAGTTGTTTGGATAATTATAAATGAGTGGCCTACTAATTGATAATTAGCTGGAGGATGGAATTCCATGCAGCCTTCAATTGAAAAATGTTGTCCTATAGCCCACAGGACAGGACAAGGGTAGGTATCTGCTTTTCAACCCCCACTATCACCCCGCACTCCCAAGGGGCAGCATCACTCAGTAGGGACATAATGTCCTAAATATAAGGTGACCAGACGTCCTGCTTTTTAACAATTTTTCCCATGTCCTGTGGCGTTTTAAAAAAGTCCCGATTTTTGGAAAGAATGCACGAGAAGCTAGGGTATACGGTTTTCGGCTGCCATGTGGCTATTTCGCCAGGATATGAGTTTTATCCCGTTTTACCAATGTTAAAATCTGGCCACCTTATCCTAAATTGGTATTGTTTTAGCACAGTGGCCACTTGCCACATATGGCTACTGAGATTCTGTAATGTGGTCAGTTTGAACTGCGACATGCTGTGCCAAAGAACACAGCAGACTTTTAAAAACCTAGTATACAAAAGAGAACATAAAATCACTCATGTTGTTCTTTCATACATGCTGAGATAATATTTTTGAATATGACTGGTTAAATAAACCACAAGAATTCAACCTGTTTCTTTTTACGCTTTACAATGTGGGTACTGAAACAATTAAATGGCATTTAATGACAGGTGCAGCTCGTGTTTAATTTCTGTTCAACATGCTGATGTAGAAGACATGGAGAAATGCCTGGTGCATTACAACCCCAGTGAAAATTTAAAAAACACTGAAAAGGATGTATGCCATGATTTTAACTGATTAACTTCTAAGCCAATATATAAAACTGTTGAAATCAGGAAGAAAAAGTTCAGTCAGCAGGGGCTCTACAATTATAAAGTCCAAGGTCTCAACCCTATTATCCTGCAAGAACAAATTACACTCTGCACTGACAGCCTCTCTCAATGAAGGAATTCCCTCTATGACAGGTGTCTCAAGGATTCTGAAAAGATCCAGATCCACTTCAAATCTCTCTTCCTTCCCTAATTATGAAATAGTCTTCATATAAAAGCAAGGCAAACATTTTTCAAAAGCCAAACTCACAACCACTGAGTCAATTCTGATTTATAGTAGCCCTATGAGACAGCAGAACTGCTCCTTAAAGGCTTCTGATACGATGAAGCTTTACAGCAGCGGTTCTTAACATGTGGACTGTGGCCCTTTGGGGGTCGAATGACCTCCATAAAAGTAGCAAAATTACAGTTATGAAGTAGCAGCAAAAATAATTTTATGGTTGGGGCCCACCACAACATGAGGAACTGCATTAAAGGGTCGTGGCATTAGGGAGGATGAGAACCACTGCTTTTCCGGAACAATCTCATCAAGCACAAGCTGGTGGGATTGAACTGCTGACCTTTTGGCTGGGAGTCCAGTATGCAACCCACAGCACCACCAGGGTTTTGCCAAAACAAAGGGGCACAGAAATATCAACCAGGAGACAACCAACGGAAGGAAGGCTGCCTGGTAACAAATTGAGAGAGACTCAAAGCACAAATGAGCCATTGTGACACTTGCCTCACTGTGAATCCAGCAGAGTAAGCACGTTGAGTGACTAATTCTACCCTGATGACCTACCAGGTAACAATGACCGATGATGAACACAGTTCAGATAAAAAGCCTCATTTGGACACACAATTTTCCTCTAGTTCTTTAATGCTTCCCTCCTCACCACTATTATGACCCCAATTCTACCTTACAAATCCGGCTACACCAGAGGGATGTGCACGGATACAGATAGGACCTGGAAACACAGGGAGCCCAAGACAGAAAACCCCTCAGCACCAAGACTGAGAGTAGCGGTAACAGGAGGGGAAGGGGAAGGAGGAGGGAGAAAGGGGGAACCGATCACAACGACCTACATGTAACCCTCTCCCTGGGGGATGGACAACAGAAAAGTGGGTGAAGCGAGACAATGGTCAGTGTAAGACATGAAAAAAAAGAAAATTTAAATTATCAAGTGCTCGTGAGGGAGGGAAGGAGGGAAAAAAAGAAGGAGCTGATATCAAAGACTCAAGCAGAAAGAAAATGCTTTGAGAGATGGCAACAAATGTTCAAATGTACTTGACACATGGATGTATGTACAGATAGCGTTAACGGCTGTATGGGCCCCCCCCATAAAATGATGAAAAACAAACAAACCCCAAAACAACCAAGGGCTCATTTGGGATCTGGGCATTGTCCTGCCTTTTAACGAGGCCGGCTTCACAGACAACCGGGAACCCTTGCACCATTCTCAGAGGCTCTCAGGACTTCACTTCTAGTTTGTCAAGTGTTTTATCATGAAAATGGGTTGGATTTTGCCAAATGTTTTTTTTTTCCTGTACGGAGCTGATGAAGGCCTGGTGGTGCAGTGAATTAAGCAACAGGCCGTCACCACCACCAACCACCCTCCAAGAGAAAGAGGAGCTGCTTCTGCAGTTACCGCCTTGGAAACCTGATGACGGGCCACTCTCGATCCCTTCAGGTCCCGTAAGTAGGAACTGACTATGGCAGTGGTGTCCGTGTATTTTTCATTGAGATGACAGAGTGGTTTTGCCCTTTATTCTTATGGTGTACACAATCATTGAGCCAAGCCTGTAAGCTTGGGATAAATCCCACTTGGCCGCAGCATGTAAGCCTTTTTAAGTGCTGATGATTCAGTTTGCTAGAAGGGGTCTTTCGGTTTATTCTTCGATCTGCTTTTGGTACCCAGGTAAGACTGGCCTCAAAGAATGAGTCGAGAAGTGCTCTTTCCTTTTCTGTTTTTTTGGGGGAAGAGTTTGTTAATTCTCCCTTACATATGCGATAGAATTCGCTACTGACACAATCTCTAGTTCATGCCATGGGTTCCAAAGAATCAGGCTTTTCTTAGTCTAATAGAGGACCCCAGGTAGCATAGCAGGTTACTTGTAAGGTTGCTAACAGCAAGGCCCGCGGTTTGAAACCACGAGCCACTCCAGGAAAGATGCTCTAACCTTGTAAATAGTTAGTCTCGGATACCCACAGGGGCAGAGTTCTATTCAGTCTAGAGGGGTGCCATGAGTTGGAATTGACCCCATGCAGCGAGCTTTTTTTTTCTCCCTATACCAGATCTAGAGAGTGTACGAAAGAGCATTAGTGATTACCTGGCCGTAGTCAATCTCCAGAGGGTAGAATTTTTTGGGATACTTTGTGAAGTTCTTAGAGTGCCAGGCATTCCCAGTTTTCTCTTCATATAACTTCATAAAGTGCTCGATGGCATCCTCCTTAGATGGCATCTTCTCCAGTTTGTTACTCCCAATGACCGTGCCCACTCGGCCCCAGGACCGGAATATCCAGTACCTATTGAGAGTGGAAAGGTCAAATTTGTGGGTCAACTTGGTCATAGTTCAGTGGGAATTTCCATTCTCTGCCACCCCAACTGGCCTACGGTGAGAAAGAACTTCAAACAGGCAAAAGCAATGGGGACGAAGGACAGTCTTGACGAGAACAAAGGAACCTACATTCCAATAAAGGGTCTTTATTTTAGTATTTATTAAAGTGAGATTGATAATAAGTTTAAAGTTATCAAAGAATATCTTCAAATTATACTAGCAAAAAAAATGCCCCCCAAATAGGCTAAATTCTGCCTAGGCTACTCAGTTTGAGGAGAGGATTCTAGGGCTTGTAGACTTTTACATAAACAAAGCTCATTCTTCTCTTCGAAGATAGTATCACTTGTAAGTCATGTATTCAGAAAGATGGAACCATTCAAATTGTAGCCTAAAAATACTGATAATTAGAGAGACCTCGATGCCACTCAAGACTGGGTAGCCACCAGAAACCCAGGCTGTCATCTCTAGTTTCCACCTTAAACCCTAAGTGCTGTACTGCTCAGGTATGGGTGAGTCCACTTTCTTACTGACTGTGTAACAGAAACCCAGTTTTTATATAACATTGTATCAGAAATATAAGGTTTATGTGTATTGTTAAAAGCTAGAACCAGAGAGCTCTAAGAGTTGGGGCTTCCTAGTTTTATTGCGCCACTGAAATCCTTGTTACCAAGCTGACTGACTTATGGTGAGCATCTAGGAAGAGTATAGAGCCCTGGTGTCATACTGGGATAAGCATCGGGCTACTAACTGCAAGGCTGGCAGTTCAAATCCCCCTGCTGTTCCAAAGGAGCCATGTGCTATGCACATGAGGCTATGCGCTCATGTAGAGATTTACAGTCTTAGAAATCCCATGGAGAAGTTCTACGCTGTTCTACAGGGTCACTATGAGTCTGAGTCAACTCAACAGCAGTGAGTTGTTTGTTACAGAACAGACGAGACCCACCTCGTGGGGTTTTAAAGGTTGGAATTTTTTTTGGCGTGGTTGCTACATCTTTCTCCAATGGAGCAGCTGGAGGGTTTGAACTGCTGACTTCTTGGTTAGCAGTCGAGTGCTTAACTACTGTTAAGGGCAAGGACTTTTCTGTAAAAATTTCCATGCTGACCAAACCTGAAAACAATTTCTGACGAGCCAGGAGACCTGGTGGGTAGGTGGGCTAGTGGATTACCTGTTGGGGACAGGGGCAGTTCTACCCTGCCTTGTAGGGGTACTTTGAATCAACCTGATAGCAGTTCAGTTTGATTCTGGTTTGCCCACACAAGCCTTTTACCTTGTAAGTCAATCAATCTAAGTCACCAGAAAAGAGTACACGTCCCCAAACCTGATTAGAATTTAACAGCGGAACCCTCTCTGTGAATCCTACCATTTTGCATAGAGCCTTGTCCCATGTGGTGGTGGAGAGGAAGGCTGCCCGGCCAGGACATACGTGGATGCTTAAAGCCAGGACAGTCCCTCACCCTCTCCAAATACTTAGAAGTGGCCTGTTTCCAACATGGTCCAGGAAAAAGAGACAAATAAACCGAACCAACAAAACCAAAAGTACCACAAACATCCCGAGCAACCAGAAAGCGGAAATACCATTAAAGTCAGCTCAAGGCTTGCCCAACTTTATTTTTTCAGTTTCCAAATATATGCAATGGTGCTAGAAACCAAAACCAAACCAAAACCAAAAACCCTAGATACTTCTAAGTAGCTTAAAAGATTGCTGCTGCCGTTAGGTGCTCGTGGGTCAGTTCCAATGTACGGCCTCCGTGTGTACTGGTAGAACTGCTCTGTAATGCTGTGGCTTTGGTACAGACCATGAGCCTGGTCTTCCAGCGTGTTTCTGCGCAGGCTTGAGCTGGTAACTACACCACCCAAAGATTCTGAGAGTATATATATGCCCAATGGATTATATACCTATGTGTGTACATGCCATATATACTTGTGTATAAATCGAGTTTTCCAGCACACTTTTATGATAAAATTAGGTGCCTCGCTGATATTCGGGTTGTCTTATACTGGAATATATATGGTATATACATGTAAAATTACTGGAAGCATATGTAATATCACCACACAACTGTAAAGATTGGGCAGAAGGTTGGCAATAGCTCCCCTTGGCTCTTTAAAACCTCCTAATACTCTTATCCTGTGATTAGGGCTACCGTAATTCTCTATTTACATGGTTTAACTACATGTTAGCATGTAGTTAGCATGAATGCTACAGACAATGGCTATGCCTTTTAGGGGGCACACTCCCCTTTCCAGAACACACCTGCTTTCTTTATCATCCTCCAGAAGCTGTAGCTTGTAGTAGGAATTGGTTCCTTTGATGATGTCCACCAGGCCCAGCGTGGCACTGAAGACCTTTCCACCTTTCTCCAGGACATGTGCGGAATGTTCTAGACCTGTCACAAGGCAAAGCTGCTATGGGGCTCTGTGAAGCGTTGGCACACTTACAGAGAAGGGGGACTTCAAGACACGGGGTCACATCTGCCTGGACACACTCACACCACTAACAAACACATGTGTTCTCAACACGGGGGAGGCTGTGAGGGGAAGACAAGGGCCAAGGCACCATCCCTCCCGCCCCCACTCCTATCCAACGGGGTGGGAGCAGCCCACCCTGCTGCTTACCAGAGTCAGGGTCCACAGCTGCCCCTCCTTTGAGAGTCAACTTCATTCTCTTCTCAGATTTGTTATTATCTTGGGGCAAGGGTGGAAAGATGTCAACATTAAGTTAAAAACAACGAACAAGAGCTCTTTCCACTTGCACTGCTCACCAGCGTGGCCTCTGTGGATAGCCCACCACCCCTCAGAGTCCCTCCCTTTTACGCCCAGCGGAAACAGAGCTGAGAACACTGGCATAGGCAGCACCCCACAGACCATCTCAGGAATGTACAGGGAGGGGCTCTGGGCAGCAGTGTGGCTGCCAAGCCCTGTGGCAGGACGAGCAGAATGCCCTTACCTTCCTCCTTGACCGGGGCCTTGCTCTTCTTGGGCAGTGTAGACCCTGACTTTGCCTTTGGAACCACGGCTTCCACAGGCTCCGTCTTCACCTTAGGCCCCCAGGTGGACAATACATGCACTGAAAATAGCTCCTGAAGGCTCTTGGTGGAACCTGAGATGTCCTGGAGGAAATCCTCAGACACAACGCGGATGTTGGCTTCTTTTATTTCCTGCATCTTCTTGGTCATCTTCTCCACCTCCTCTGTTCAAATCGCAGGAGGACCAGAAAGTGCGTTTAAGACTATACGGAAATCTCTACATAAATGTAACTACAGAGTTACATTTACAGAGTGTTTCCAAACATTCAAGAGTCTCTGAGTGGGGCAAATAGTTAATGTGCCAGGCTTGCCGTTGAAGACCACCCGGGGTGCCTTAGAAGAAAGGACTAGCGCTCTACTTCTGAAACACCAGCCCCGGAAAACCCTCTGGCACACATGACGTTGCTGTGAGTTGGGAGTCGACACCACAGCAACGGGTACTGATTTTTTTCTAAGCCCTCTCTGTACCTGACAAATCTAGTGATTACACGGCTCTTCCCATTCTAACGCTTGTCCCCACTCTCTCTCGAAGCTATGACGAGTTAGGGCTACCTCCTTCAACCACATTCCTTAGAATGAGAGGCTAGTAGACACTGCAAAGAAAAAGGACACTGAACTCACAAACAAACGTGGTCTACAAAATTCATGTCAGCATAACGCAGCCCCCAGGAAACCGATTTACCTTCAAGGGACACTGCACCTTCTGAACATAACTGAGCTGCGGACTTCTGTTCCGGCCATAACCTCACTAACCCCTTGGGGAGCAATGCTCGGTGAGGAGAGTGGTAGCGTACAGTCTTGAGGTAGGGACAGGGAACATGCATGGCTCTACAGGACAAGGCAGAGTACCACCGCAAAGTCTGAACCCACTGCTTTCCTTTCATAAAAACCCCAACAATGACCATAATGCCACTTCCATGTGAGACACTACAGCTAGGACTCTCCTCATTTACTCCTCACCCCAATCCCAGGAGACAGCACCGCCCTGTTATAGAAGCAGCTGGCACTCACTCTGGGTGCTGATGCACAGGGAGGCCTTGTTGGCCGTCCCTGTCAGCTTGCCCCCGAGCTCCTCGATCATGGCCTTCACTTCCTCTTTGTTCCGGGAGAGCTTCCCCAGAGTTAGGATCTTCATGTTGGACAACGGCTTGTCTGGAACGAAAGAGAGATCATTGGGCAGGGCTCATTTTGGAGCGACTGCTGGGTCAAGGAGGAGCAGGCCCAGGCTGGGTATCAGGGCTAGCCATGCCAGATACAGGTGTGGGGTCCCTGGATGCCCTTGGCGTCCCACTCATCAGCTTCTCCTTAAGGAAAAAAACCAAGACAAGAAACCACTGTCATTGAGTAGGTTCCGACGCACAGCAGCCTCGAGGGCTTCCAGGCTGTACGTTCTCACGGGAGCAGCCAGCCAGCCAGCCGCTTCTTTCTCTTACAGAGCAGCTGCTATGACTAGCAATCCAAACCAATTCCGGCAGCAACACCAGGGCCCCTTCTTTAAGAAAAAGCCTGTAAAAAGCGGCGGTGAAGCAGAGGAGATGAAGGCACAGACTGTCAATGAGCTGCTTACACAGACCCTTCAGAGGACCCACCCAGGCACCCGAAGAGGTCAGCATTGCTGACCATGGTTTTGGGCAAAGTGGCCAACCCTGGCTCTGCTCCACAGGATAGACTAAGACATGGGGTTGGGGAAAGGCAAAGGAGGCCGGCGAAGGGAAGAGATGAGGTCACAAGATGGGATCACACTCCATTTGACTATTCTCCCTCTCGTGTCTTAAGACAAGGAGTAATCTGCATGTGGTTTTAATAAGCCCGTTTAAAAAATGATGCATCTCCATGAGCCACCGAACTGTCTGTTCAGTACCATCACACTGAGCTGACCTGAGTGACCTCAAGCAGGACAGTCCCAGGCCTTTGTTTGCTGCAGAGGAAAATGCAATACCGGGGGGTGCATTTCTACAACAAGAAATGCTATAGGGCAAGCAACTAGGGACGCCAAACAGAGCTCAACTGAAAAGCCGCTCAGGTTTCCACACAGGAAGAAAGCCATTTGTGTGTGAACCACAAGGGAGGGAAGAGGGGAGGGGCCCTTGGAGCAGGACCAGTCCTGTCTGGTCCACCTGCAGACACTGAGACCTGGGCTTCAGGCAGCAGGCTGGGGGCACAATAACCACTCACACTGTCACCCTAGTGCCCACTGGCCCCAGGGAGAGATGCCCCGCCAGGGTTTGGTTTATGGCTGGGCATAGGGAAGGAGGGCACTGATAAGCTCAAGTTCAGGGATAAGACCTTTGTCCTTCACCCACTAGAACCATGGCATCAATCACCAGATGGTGCCATGCTGCTGTGACCAAACAAAGGCATGGGTCTCAACTACCGGCAAAAAGCATACTCGTTTTATTGCTCCTTGTTGGCATGGAGGACCAGTAACGCAGTCAGGCTCAGGAAGACTGAGTGGGCACAGGCCTGCTCCGAAGAGGGGCAGGCATGGGCCACGATCTGAAATGGCGCTGTGCAGGACAGCAGAAGGCAGGGTATCTATCATCCGAAGTAACATGGCTTTCTTAGGTCCTCTGGACACCCAGAGCGACAACAAGGCATTTGCTATCTGTTGCTCTTTTAGGAAGCTTATGGCAAAGAATCCCAGTGTGGTGCCTGATTGGAGGCACTTGATGCCTAACTAAAGGCTGGCAGTTCGATGCTATCCAGAGACATCTCAGGAAACAGGATCTGCTTCTGGAACCCCACGGAGTGCACCTCTACTCGAGTTAGACTCTACATGATGGCATTCAGACATGCTAAACGACAAAGAGAAACCCAGGAGGGTACTTTCATAAGGTGCTACGAGAGCACGGGGGTAAGGGCTGAGCACGGAGCAGCTCTGAGGTCAGACCCCCAGCCCACCCCCGTCCTGTTCACTCATTCGTTACCTGCTGGAGCTGAGGGATTCTCAGTAACGGGAGCTGCAGCTATGGGGGGTGGGGGTGCTGGTGCTGCTGCCACTGGGGTGCCAGTCTCGGGGAGGAACAGCCGGTCTTGCTTTTTGATTTTCAGTTTCTTGAGGTAAGAGATTTCCTGGAATTCCTAAGTAAAACACACCCTAGTTATTAAGAAACCACTTACCCTAAAACAAACAAACAAACAAACAAACAAACAACCCGTCCCCCAGTCAGGCAGACAGGGTCTGGTTTGCCCATGCAAAAAAACAAAACCCAATCACCGGTTTTTATCTTTGTTCAAAGAAGACTAACATAAAAGAAAAATGCAAAGCTTCTCAAGAGATAAACAGCTCTACAGTCCCTGGTTCATAGAATTACTCCATCTCCCACATTTAACACGGCTGGTACTGCAGTGGCGGGTCCACTAACTAGCAATGAACTCTGTGAGACTGTAAGCCAAAGGAACCCAGGGTAACCACCCCCCACCACCCAAGGATGAAGATATGCAGAGCAGCCTGAAGCTTTAACACTCACTCCAAGTCCTGGGAGCATCGGTTCACAGCAGTGTTCCACGACCCACATGAAGCTGAGGGAAATACCACCTTTCCTAAGCTTTCAGCTAACCCAGAGCAGCCCTGCCCTGCCACGTCCTTGTTCAGTGAGCAAAGCCTGGACAAACCAGTAGGTGCCGTCAGTGGTGGGGGTAGGCGTGTGCGATGTGGTCAGGTTCCTTTTAGAGATTGCTCCAGGAAAAGTACAGAAGCAAGCCTGGCAGTGAACACAGGATGTAAGGAACAAGCTCCTGCCAGAGGCCCAGGGCATAAGGGAGCTCAGTTCAACACACTCAGTTTGTTAGAGGTGCTGATGGGACTCCCAGCAACACAGCATGTGCCAGTCATGGTGCCAAATGTCCATTACTCCTGGGAATAGGCACAGGAAGTCAGGGAACTTGACTGAGACCAACTGCCAGCAGGAGCAGACCCACAACCCACCCAGGCTCCAGGTGTGTTCTGCCCGAGGGAGCAGTGTGTCCTAGCAGCCAGGACCCAAAGACACTGTCAAGGCACCCCCATAACACACCATCCAACTGACATTCACAAACTGAGGTTTTCTCACAACCCTCCCCTACAGGTAAGGAAATGCCCCTGAGGAGAACTAAGAGCTCAATGGCAGAAGTCATTCTCTATTTGCTCACCACTAAGTTCCCTGTGCCTTGAACAGTGTCCAGCACATAGTCACCACTAAGTTCCCTGTGCCTTGAACAGTGCCCAGCACATAGCAGGCACTCAGTCAACAAAAGTAAAAATAATTCACGGTCCTGTCAAGCAAGATTATTTTACAGTTATATTACACTCCAGTTAGAAATCAATTGGGTCTACATTCGTTTAATTGGCAAACATACGGGACCATAATATAATTTTGTGGTCTTATCATGAGAATGGCCCTGCCTGAAGAAGCCTGAGCAACCCTGCACTGCTGTCTTGGTGGCCTGGAACGTAGACAAGCGCGCGGGGAGGAACCAAACCCCAGAGCAACTCCACCACCGGCCTACCTTTGGAGTCACCCACTCCTTGCGGTTGGGGGTCTGTGTCTTGACCATACATTTGGTCCAGGCAGTGATGTCCCCGGTACAATAATAGGCATCGCTCTTAAAAACCAGCTGGCCGGAGCATTCCTCGCAGGGAAGGAGGGCACCAAACACCATCCCATCAGCTACTCGGTCCAGGATCTGAAGCCAGAACAAAACCGCGTTAGAAAAGAGAGAGCAGAAAGGCAACTTTCAAGGACATTTACTGCTGTGGGATGAAGAATCTGCTTTAGCTTCACGCCCTTAGGGACCAAGGGCGTTCCTTCCCGGGGCTCTTCATGAGGCCCCGGCAGTTGGGATAGACTTGGACTGTTTGGGGGTACTTTCAGACCTTCTTTCTGTGCCTTACACGTTCCTGGAACGCCCCCATCCCTCAGTAATTAGGACTAAAGGGAAAGCCCGCAGTACCTGCTGCCATTACACAAGGTACACTGCAAATCCCCGTTCCAGAAAAAGGGCCCAGAGGGGGCCAGCTGGATCCCTAAGGCCTCTGCAGCCCTGGCAGCCCTCGGGGAGCTCAGGTCCAGAGAGAACACAAGCCAAAGTACACAGCAGGAAAACAAAAGGCAATGCACAGCCCACCACAGAGTTGTAACCCATTAGTATCAGGCGAAGATGCCCGAGCCTGGGACAGTGGTGACCATGGTGGTGATGGTGACCACGAAACACAACTACGCAATCCTCACTCCTTGTGGTTAACATGCGCAGGCATTCACAGGAGGGCCTCCGCATGTCATTAGGGCGCCACTCCAGAGGGACCGGGTCATCCCACGTGTGTCCACTTAACGCAAGGGCAGCTCACCGCCGACTCCCCCGAAGGCACTTGCTGCTTGTTGAAGATGAGGAGCTCCTTCAGGTCATTTGTCGAACATGCCTTCTTTAGCTCATCCTTGACATTCCAAATCAGGTCATTCTGGGCCTACAGAAAAGACAGAAATCCAAGCTGGGGAAACATTCTACCCCTGGTCTTAGTGACCAAACAAACTTGCAAATGAGCTGAGCTAGCCTCTTAAAAAGCTGGTATGGTCAGGCTGGAACTATGCAATGTGATCCATCTACCCGTGGCTATCAAATTAAAGCTGGAGAGGGTTGACTCTGAGAAGGCAGAGGGCAAGGAGACCACTTAGGAGAGCTGGGAAGGCTGCAGCCGTAGCAACAAGGCCTGTGGGACCAACCCGTAGAAGCAAGTCCAGGGGACACATCGTAGGACCCGAGAAGCACTAGGCTGCGCACAGGGCCAACTTATCCTCCCCACGAAGAAGTGGCAAGGGAGGCAAGTGATGACGTGGGGGAAGAGAGATTCTCCACCAACTGTAAAGAAACAGGCTGTATTTTCTTCATAGCACGCTAAATTCTTATTTTTTATTAAACACTTTACTTTTATTAAACAATTAATAATTGTTTTATTAAAAAAGTTAATATAAAATTTAAATATTTTAAAATACTTTATTTTATTAAATACTCTTAAATCTCACCACAATCCAGTGTGTCAAGCACATATGCTGCCATCATCATTTTCAAAGCATTCTCTTCCCACTTGAGCCCCTGATATCAGCTCCCCATTTCTTCTCTCCCTCCCAGAACCCTTGATAAGTTACAGATCAGGGGTCCTCACACTACGGCCTGCGGGCCACATGAGGCCCGCCGAGGACATTTATCCAGCCCACCGGGTGTTTTTGCGTTTTGTTTTTTACTTCAAAATATGAGCAGTGTGCATAGGAATTTCTTCTTTTTTTTAAAAGTATAGTATGGCCCTTCAACGGGTTTGAGGGACAGTGAACTGGCCCCGTTTAAAAAGTTTGAGGACCCCTGCTGTAGATTATTTTCATCTCTTACATCATCCTCCATTGCCCCTCACCCACTTTTCCGTTATTTGTCCCCCTGGGAGAGGGTTGTTGATCCTTGTGATCAATTCCCTTCCCCCCCCCTCGGTCCCCCCAATCCTCCTGCTATCCCTATTCACTGTTGGCCCTGAAAGGTTAATCTATCCTGATTCCCTGTGCTGTGGGTTCTTATCTGTAGTAGTGTGCATGTTCTGGTCTAATATGATTTGTAAGGTAGAATTAAGGTCATGCTAGTTGGGGAAAGGAACCACCAAAGAACTAGAGGGAAGTTGTGTTTCATTGGTGCTATACTGCACGGACTGGCTCATCTCTTCCTTGTGGCCCCTCTGTGAGGGGATGTCCAATTGTCTACAGATGGGCTTTGGGTTTCCAATCCATGCCCCCCCCCCCACATTGATATAATTTTTTGTTCTGGGTCTTTGATGCCTGATACCTGATCCCATCAACACCTCATGATCACACAGGCTGGTGTGCTTCTTCCATGTAGGCTCTGTTGCTTCTCAGCTAGATGGCCGAGTGTTTTATCTTCAAGCCTTTAAGACCCTAGACTCTATTATCTTTTGATAGATGGGCACCATAGCTTTCTTCACCACATTTGCTTATGCACCCATTTTGTCTTCAGCAATCATGTTGGGTAGGTGAACATCACAGAATGCTGGATTATAAGAACAAAGTGATCTTGTGTTGAGGGCGTACTTGAGTTGAGGCCCAATGTCCATCTGCAACCATAATTCTTAACATATAGATGAGTACATAGCTTGATTCCCCTCTTATTTTATATATATATATTTACATATGTACATGCCTGTATTTAGACCTCAACAAATGTCCTTTGCCTCTTGGTTCTTTCCTCTATTTCCTTTTACTTTCCTCTTGTCCCACCATCATATGTTCGGCCTTCATTCGCATTTAGTAATTCCTCATTGCTACATTGCCCTTGTTTAAGCCTCACTAGGCATCTTATGCCCTTCTCTCCATTGATTTTAGTTCACTTGTTTTTCCCTTGTCCCTGGATTGGTTACATGCTAAATTCTTATCATGTATGAAGTTTCTTCTAAAATGGAAGCTGTTAAAAAAAAAAAATTAAAAAAAAATAAAATGGAAGCTGTTGTCATCAGGACAACTCAGCAAATAAAATTCAAGCTTACTGCTTGAATTCATTACTTCACACATTCAAGTAAAACTTAGCATTTTTTTAATGTATGACATTCATTTAGTATGAATTTAATAGCACTGAATTGCTACGTAATTACTGTTGGCCTACTTTGTGTTGGTTGATTTGCCTATCTCCGCTCATTTTTTCTCACCTCAACTTGCGGAGGAAGGTTATTAGCCTGCGTGCTCCTCTCCCACTTCAGGAGTGTGGGCAGCTGCTATGAGCCATTTTGGCTTCAGACCCCAACTCTGTAAGATGGAGAGGAGGGTGCTGGCCATACTTAGCACAAAGGCTCACTATCAGCATTTACCATGACTGACAGAAGAAACATGACTGAAGAAAATGTATAATGAAGAAGCAGTACCACTTCACCTATTGACCGGGGGAGGGAAGCCAGCAAAACCACATTCATCAGGTGGGGAGGCTGTGGGAGAACTTTCGTTTTCGGCCGTTCTTTATGTCTCTGGCCGTGATGGAGCGAGAGAACACCAGACGTTCAGAACGGCACATACAAGAGCCCCACATACGAATGACATGTTTTTTAATGTGTGATAATTCGTGAAGCAACTGGCATGACTTTAGAAACTGCTTCTAATTCTCAAACCACCGTTCACAAGAGAGCCAAGAAGATGGCTTATGGAAATCACATCCCCAAGAAGAGACGAGTGGTTTTCCCCAAGTTTCCCAAACACCTAGCGTTACCTGGATTAATGTTTTTTCCTTTAACACATGAGCAATCAACAGCGAAAACTCTGGTCGGGGATCACTGAATTCATGGGTACATTTCTCCTTTCAGCAAATGCCCTCTATACCTTTAATATTTCCATGCAGCTATTTCTCATTCCTTTTATTTTTTACCATGACAGGTTAAAAGGAAAAAAAAAAAAAAAAGAGCTCTTCAAGGCACCAGTCTGTGTGCAAAGGGTTAAGTGCTTGTTTGCTAATAGAAAAGTCAGTGGGTGCTGTTCACCAAGAGGTGCCTCAGAAGAAAAGGCACAGCTACTTCAGAAGCCGTCACTGGAATCCCACGGAACAGCTCTCTTCCGATACAGGGGGATGACTGGGAGTTGGAGGCAGCTAGATGGCAAGTATTATTGGCTCAGAATGGCTGAAACTCTTGAATTTCATAGTGAGCCTCCCGTGTTTAAAATCATCACTCATGCATCAGATGATCATACTGTGGTGGCTAGTGCGCTGCAGCAGGGGCACCCATGGCGAACGGGTTTCAAGAGAACCCCATAAGAACATAGTACAAAGAAGGAATAGGCTGTGCACTTCGGAGGGAGTGGCCACTGAAAACCTTAGGAATAGAGGTAGGACACGTCAGACGTAGTTCTGAGAGAGGAGCCCCTCAGGTGACTGGGAAAGCGCTCCCACCTCAAAGCACCGTGAACCTCAAGGACGCGGATGCAGGAAAGCTTTTGGGACTTTCATCTGCTAATGGGGCACAACTCAAAATGGGAAGAACAAGTGCAAATATCCATTAACAAGAATGTGAAATGTGCTCGGCAGAATGTATGTATGTACGAGCCCCCTGATAAAATGATTAAAAAAAAAAAAAAAGAATGTGAAGTGAACACAATGTAAGAAAATTGCAAGTCGTCATAAGTAGAATGTGCCATAAAGACCAATGGCCTAGTCTTCAGTGAGGTGAAATGGCCCGGTATTGGTCATTCTGAGCTGGATAACCACACGGTTCACTACGTCAGGAGTGACAATTCAGGAAGAATGGCACTGCACTCATCACCACCTCACAGAACAATGGTGCCTGTGACAGGACGGTAGCTCCATGTCAACAATGTCTAGTTAATACAACCATTTTTCAAATGCACACCCCAACTACTAAAGTCGGTGATGGAGAAATTGAAGAACTGGATCTTCTTCAGTATGAAATTAAATGAACACTAAATCAAGATGCACTGATAATCACTGGTGATTGGAATGCTGAAATCAGAAAGCGGAAGGATCAGTTGTCACAAACAGAGCCCTGGTGACAGAAATGAAGCTGGAGATCGCATGACAGAATTGTTAAAGACCACTGAATTCTTCGTTGTTAAGGCCACTTTTCAACAACATAAACGGAGATTATACCCGTGGACCTTGCCGCCAGCTGGACTACACAGGGAGAAAACGGATTACATTTATGGAAAGAGGCAATGGAGAAAAAGCTCAATATTAACAGCTTAAATGCATAAGACAGTTCAGGCGAGAACCAAAATATGACCTTGAGCATATTCTACCTGACCTCAGAAACCATCTCAAGAACAGATTTGGACAGTGAACAATGGCACGGGAGCAGATGACTTTGGGGACGGCCACATACAAAGAAAGCAAAAGACAGGTAGCAGGAAAAGACGAATGTGGAAATCAGAATAGACTGAAACGTACTCTTGAATGTAGAACATGCTTATGGAAGAAATGATGTAAAAGGGCAGAACAGGACATTTCAAAAGGCAGCTTGAGAAGAAAAAGCAAAGCATTATAATGAAACGGGCGAAGACTTGGGGCTAGAAAACCAAAAGGAGAGAGCACGCTCAGGATGTCTGTCACAAATTGAAAAAAAAAACTGAAGCAAAATTTCAAAGCTTGAATGGGAATACTGAAGGACTCCAGGGACAAAATACTGAATACAGGAAACATCAAAAGAGAACTGGTGGACGGTCAACCATTTCAAGAGGTACTGCTGAATCAAGAACTGATAGTATTGAAGAAGTCAGGCCAAGCTGCACTGAAGGCTTTAGCCAAAAACAAGGTCCCAAGAAATGACAGATCACCAATGAAAATGTTTTAAAAACAATAAACCCACTACAAAAACTGACACAGCTTAGGAAGCACTTGCTCATCTCTATGTCAAGAATATTGGAAGACAACTATCTAGTCAATGGCCTGGAAGAGGTCCAGATTTGTGCCTATTCCAAAGAAAGGCGACCTAACATGTTGCAGATATTATTAAATATTATTAATATTACATGCAAGTACATTTTTGCTGATGATAATTTAAATCCAGCTGCAGCAGTACAGGAAGTTACTAGAAATTCAAGCTGGATTTAGCAGAGGCCCTAGAACAGTGGTTCTCAACCTTCCTAATGCCGCAACCCTTTAACACAGTTCCTTATGTGCTGGTCACCCCCAAACATAAAATTATTTTCATCTGCTATTTCATAACTGTAATTTTGCTACTGTTATGAATCGGGAGACCCCAGTGAAAGGGTTGTTCGAACCCCCAAAAGGGCCGCGAACCACAGGTTGAGAAGCACTGTCCTAGAATAAGATGCATCATTGCTGACAGAAGTCACATAGATGTTGGCTGAAAGTAGAGAATAACAGAAAGATGTTTACTTGAGTTTTATTGACTAAGCAAGGCATTCCAACTGTGTAGGTCACAAAAAACTATGGATAACACTTCAAAGAAGAGGAATTCTAGAATATTTCATTGTGCTCATGCAGAACTTGTACATAGATCAATAGGCAGTTCTTTGAATAGACCAAGGGCATGTTACAGGAAAAGCATTTTACCAGAATTTTATTTTCACCATATTTAATCACTCAGTATGCCGAGAAGCTGGATTATATGAAGAAGGTTGCATCAGGATTGGAGGCAGATTCATTAACAACTTGAAAGAGGCAGACAACACAGCCTGCATGCTGAAAGCAAAGAGGACTTGAAGCACTTACTGATGAAGATCAAGAACGGCACCCTTCAGTATGGATTATATATATCTCAGTGTAAAAAACCCACAAAATCCTTACACCTGGACCAAGAGACAATATAGAAGATGGAGAAAAGACTAACTTGTCAAGGATTTAAATTTAAATCTATCCACAATCAACACTTAGAAAACAGCAGCCAAGCATTCCCTTCAATGCAAGAATACTTTGTTCTATTAAACTGGCATTCCACGATGCTCACCTTCCCGACATGATCGCTGAAGACAAAATAGTGCATAAGCAAATGTGGTGAAGAAAGCTGATGGAGCCTGGCTATCAAAAGATATAGCGTCTCGGGTCTTAAAGGCTTGAAGGTAAACAAGCAGCCATCTAGCTCAGAAGCAACAAAGCCCACATGGAAGGAGCACACCAGAGCCTGTGTGATCACGAGGTGCCGAAGGGATGTTATCAGGCATCAAAGAACTAAAAATCATATCATTGTGTGCTCACCTCCCTGATACGATTGCTGAAGACAAATGGGTGCATAAGCAAATGTGGTGAAGAAAGCTGATGGTCCTCAGCTATCAAAAGATATAGCGTCTGGGCTCTTAAAGGCTTGAAGGTAAACAAGCGGCCATCTAGCTCAGAAGCAACAAGGCCCACATGTAAGAAGCACACTAGCCTATATGATCTCGAGGTGCTGAAGAGATCAGTTATCAGGCATCAAAGAATAAAAAATCGTATCATTGTGTGCTCACTTTCCCAATACAATTGCTGGAGACAAATGGGTGCATAAGCAAACGTGGTGAAGAAAGCTGATGGTGCCTAGCTACCAAAAGATACAGTGACTGTGGTCTTAAAGGCTTGAAGGTAAACAAGCGGCCATCTAGCTCAGAAGCAACAAAGCCCACATGGAAGAAGCACACAAGCCTGTGTGATCACAAGGTGTCGAAGGGATCAGGCATCAGGCATCAAAGAACAAAAAATCAAAACATTGTGAATGAGGGGGAGTGCAGAATGGGGACCCAAGACCCATCTGTAGGCAAGTGGACATCCCCTTACAAAATTGTGGGGAGGAAATGAGCCAGTCAGGGTATAGTGTAGCAATGATAAAACATACAACTTTCCTCTAGTTCCTAAATGCTTATACCCCCCACTATCATGATCCCAAATCTACCTAACAAATCTGGCTAGATCAGATGATGTACACTGGTACAGACAGGAACCAGAAACACAGGGAATCCAGGACAGATGATCCCTTCAGGACCACTAATGAGAGTAGCGATACCGGGAAGGTGGATTGGAAAGGGGGAACCGATTACAAGGATCTACATATAACCTCCTCCCTGTGGGATGGACAACAGAAAAGTGGGTGAAGGGTCAGACAATGTAAGATATGACAAAATAATAATAATTTATAAATTATCAAAGGTTCGTGAGGGGGGGGGGGAATGGAGAGGGAGGGGAAAAAATGAGGAGGTGATACCAAACAGAAAGCAAGTTTTGAGAAGGATGGCAGCGCATGTACAGATGTACTTGACACAATGGATGGATGGATTGTGGTAAGAGTTGTACAAGCCCCCAATAAAATGATTAAAAAAAAAAAAGATTACTATAAGCTAAAAAAAAGGAAAAAGAAAGAAAACAGCAGTGAAGAGCTCAAATGACATTGCACTGGGAAAATCTGGTACACAAGACCCCTTTAAAATGTTAAGAGCAAAGATGTCAATTTGAGGACTAAGGTGCGTCCAACCCAAGTCACAGTATTTTCAATCATCTCTCATGGATGTGAAAGCTGGACAATGAGTAAGAGGATGACAGAATCGATGCGTTTCAATTATGGTGCTGGCAAAGAATAGTCCAAGTATGACAGACTGTCGAAAGAACAAGCACCGTCTATCTGAGAAGCAGTACCTCCAGAACGCATTTTGGCAGGGAGGATGGTGAGACTTGGTCTCTGAAAGGTAATCAGATGTGGGAGAGAAGACCCTCATTGCGATGCACTGACTCACTGCAGCAATGGCTCAGTAAGCCTAACAGTCAGGAGGATGGAGCAGGACTGGGCAGTGCTGCATTCTGCTGTACATGCGGTTGCTTTGAGTTGGTGCTGAGTCAACAGCACCTAACAACAGTGGCTAAAAGTGACCTTCAAGTTCTAGGATACAGAGTGAGTGATGCACAATTTGGCTGGCAATGTCACCTGTTTCTGCATTAGCCCGGTTGGGGGTATGGCACCTGTAATCTAGGGTGGCCTCTCTCCCGAATAGGAGCTTTGTCTCTTTAGGAAGTGGGATGATAGGAATTTGGGAAATGAATCATGCTACTTAGTGACAGTATTAATTTAGGATTTCATAAAGGTCTTGTTAGATGGGGCACATGCTTCCTTGAGCCTTTCCCCCAGGACGAGGAAGAGAACTGAGAAAGGAGACATGAAGTTCAGGACTCACCTTGAGGGTCTTTTCCAGCTTACTGCCCTTGTCTTTCTCTTTCTTAGCTTTCTTCTTAGTCACTTCTTCAGTGCCATCCACTTCATCAACCTTTCTCTTTCTGAAAGAGAAAAAGGGTACGAATCAGAGCTACTACAACCCTGCCGTCCAGGGACACGGAGTGACATGGTATAACTGGAATGCATTAGACTTATTTAAAAGTGTCAATGCCTCTCTGCAGAGCTTGCTTGTACTTGTCAATCCCTCCCCAATCCATGTTTCACACCATGCTTATGGGCGCCCACGAGTGCCAGGTCCATCTACATAGGCAGCACTTGCAACCAAGGCCCGAAACCTCGCCCATTGCAGAACGCAGCTCTCCAGTTGCGGATGGCTGGGGCTGCTCAGAGCTCGTTTGATGTCAGAACCCCCAAATGCCTCTTGGTATAAATGAGACCACCTGGAAGGCTCTGGCAGAGACTTAACAGAGGTAAGCCAAGGCTGTGAGGAGAATGGCGGGTTAGTGGTAGGATTTTTGCCTTCCATTCAGGAGAAAGATGAGGTTTTCTATTTCTGTAAAGAGTGACAGTCTCAGAGTCCCATAAGGGCAGTTCTACAAGGTTGCTATGAGTTGGAATCGACTTGATGGTAGTGTTTGATTTTGGTAGCCAGGGGTGCTGGGTTCAGTGGAGGCTTGCCAAGGAAAACCTACAGATGACACAGGTATAATTCAGTTGTGCATGGGGTCACCAGGGGCCAGGGATCAACTGAATGGAAGGTGACCACAAACCTAAGACAGGAGGCAGGGATTGGAGAGAAAAAAAACTCACTCACTCTCACTGCCCTGGAGTCAATGCTGACTCACAGGGACCCTCTGTGGGTTTTCGAAACTCTAATGGTTCACGGAAGTCAGAAGCTCAGTCTTTTTCTGGAGGAGCTGCTGGTGGTTTTGAACTGCCAACCATGCGGATTGTAGCCCAATGTGTAACCACTACACCACCAGGGCTCCATGTCTGTCAGCTTCAGCAGCTTCCAAATGAAGATGGACTATGAAGCAAGGCCTGAGATCTATGCTCAAAAGTCAGCCAATGGAATCCTTATGCATCCTTATCTGCCACCAATCATGGGCATCAGACAAAACCAGGCAGAGTGAGTTCAAGTGTTGGAGGCTGACTGAACGGCGGCTAACAACATGGAAGCTCTCAGGTCTCTGGGTGTCCCTCATAACCCTCCCCAAAGCCCAGCCGCTGCCCACCCTTCACTCTTGACTCCTGGGAATTGCTGCTTCAGAAATTCTTTGTCCTCCGGTGTGAGGCGCACAAAGCCCGTGATTTGGCTAGCGGTGTACTCAGGCCGGAAACCTAGTTTCTCTTTGTTCTGGATAAAGCAGTTTGGGTGGTACCACCGATCGATCACACCCATCTGTGGCTTCTCTGGGTCCAGCATCTTCTTAGACAGGCGCATCTGGCCCTGCAGGTACCAGGGAGAGACAAGGAAAGGTGGAGGACATCCATCAGAGGGGTTTTCAGGTAGCATGAGCCTGAGTTCCAAACCACAAGAGGCCTTTGCGCTAACCCCTAGCCTGATGAACAAGTACTGGGGCACTGGGAGGCTTCTGTCTTTCATGGTACCAAGAACTGTGCTACCCTCCAGTTTTAGCACCTTCATGGTGACCCGAACCAGAATGGGATTGTACTTTATACTCTCACAGATTTAGATAATCTCGGGCAAACAAGCCACAGTAAGCTGATATGTAACTGGAGGGGGTTGTATTAAAAGCATACACAGAACATGAGGCTGAGGGGGTCATGCTAAGGGTATACATGCAATAGGAAGGGGTTGTACTAGGGAATACATGTGACAGGAAGGTGCAACCCTAACAAGATGGGCGGGCTCAATAGTCAAGATGACAGCCTAACCTTGGTCTTTGGAGTTGGCTTAACCTTAGGGGTCTGAACTCTTCTCCAGGTAATCTATAATCCTGATCAGAAGGGAGTGGGCCATACTTAGGGTGGGACAGACAACAGGGTCTGATTGCTTTGGCACTGAGCTATTGCCACTTGGCTGGTTGGATACCCATTCCATGGCCTGGGCCAAGTGAGAAGGTGAGCAATGTCCCTGAAGATGTTTCTGCTGATCTGGAGCAGGCACCCGATTTGGCAAGTTGGGGAAGAGCTGGGCCTCACACAAACCTATCAGGCTCAGAAGGAGCCAGCACAGGCCCCTAACACAGCATTCTTTTCATAGCATGATGTTGAATTTTCAGCCCAATCCTGTTCACGAGAGAACACTTGAGTCTCCTTCCACATAAGCAGCCTCCTAAGAAGAGGTGACAGATCTGTAAGGAGAGCTCAGTACGGCCGTCCTGTGCTGGTTTACACTGACCAGGCCTGATCCTCTTGGGAGAGCTCCAGCCTGAATATGTCCCAGATCCCGAGAACTCAGTCAGAGGGGCCCAGGGCACTTACCAGAAACACTTCAGGCCAAGCAAACCCGGCTTCTGGCAGTCCCGCGAAATGAATGAAACCTTAATGCTCACCCTAAACTTTTGTTGGTAGAAGGTTAACAGGAGCAGATCTACATGTGTTCACTGCTAAAATACCCACTGGTTATCTTAATTCTCAAGGAATCCTGGTAGCAATGAGCTGCTAACCACAAGGGTCAGCAATTCAAATCCACCAGCTCCTCTGTGGGAGAAAGTTAAGGTCGTCCGCTTGAGTAAAGATTTAAAGTCTATAAGCCAAAGAGGCAGTTCTATCCTGTCCTTTATGTTCGCGTTGAGTGAGAATTGATTAGATGACAATTAATTCGTTGATTTGGGTTTGGCCTAAAAAATGGTAATAAATTAATTCTCTGTACAATACCTTATGGAGGTAGGAACTGTCCATCAATGCCTTACACAAAGCCACTAGTACATGGACTAAGATCAGAGAAGGGTGAGGAGCCTGAGGGTACACCCACCCTTCTGTCAGTGTCTCCTGTCCATTCTTTCTGTCAGTCTTCAGGCACTAAGATCCTTGGATGGGCTGGTTAAGAATTTCCCGAACAAGTAGAAAGAACTTAGAAGGTCATATTCGTCAACTTAATCCTACTAAAAAAGATAGAATAACCTCCTTCCCCCAGCAACTGCCAAGTCCCAAAGAGATCCCTTGCGTTTCCAAAGTTTTCCCAGATCTCTAACCAGAGGACACAACTACACACAGGACTAGACGATGAATAAAATGGACAAGCTTTGTCAGAAAGAAAAGCCAATGCCTCCTCCACTCTCGACCAAGGTCTCTATGGAATGCTTTGTTGCTACTAGTGGTGCATGGTGTTTTCCTTTGTCTCGAGACAGTCAATGGAGGCCCATCCACATGAACACCCACACGCTCACCTTTTCTATCTTCTCCATACAGCCCTTGCACGTGCTTCTGTTGGACTTGGCGTACTCTGCTGCGAAGTCGTTCAGCGTCTTGTCTGCCTTGCTGCCACCTCCATCGTGGCCTTTGCCTGAAGAATCAAACATGGCAACACTCATCTCACAGTTTAACTCTAATAAAATTACTGCTCTCAAACAGGTTCTTTCAGACAGCAGACAGCTGGTGGTTCATTGTGTGACCTTGTACCTTACTTCACTTCATTTGGTGGGCTCCCTCGGTTTGCAAAGACCATTCTACAAGTCGAGAATCCGTGGGTAATGCTCTGACACTCACGGGCTTGCCATCAACCAGAGATGACTCAATGGCAACTGGTTTTTTTTCTTTTTTAGAATCTTGTGCCATACTACTTTCTAACCCAACCTTCTAGCTTCCATTATATTTTTATGTATCAAGGTTAAATGCTCAGGAGGTGGTGAGTTTATGTTACTGACGGAGAAACAACTCAGAAAAGGAAGACGAGAATAGTGCACAATGTGAAGCGGGTGATCAATGCTATGGAATTGCACTCGTAAAAATGGCTGGCTTGGCGTGTATTCTGCTGTGTATTCTAAAAACAACAAAATAAGTAACATTTAGGAGAAAGAAAAAAAAAACATGTCAAACACTGAATTAGAGAATCTTAATATGGAAACAGACACAGGTATATGAAGAGATTAAATAAATGGTAAAGGTATCGTTTCAAATTAGTGGGGAAAGCTTTGAGACAAAGAACAAGGAATACCCATTTAAGGCAAAAGCTAAATTCTTATATAAAAAGAAATTCAAAGGCTGGCTAAGATTAGGAACAAGACAAAGCTGTCTTCTCTCACCATTCTGTCCAACATTGTTTTGGAGGTACTAGTAAGTGCAATAAGGCAAATACATAAATGAAAAAAGTTTGGGAAAAAAAGTAAAGCCATGTTTAATTGTAGATGATAAGATTGCATGTGGGAAATAACTTAAAAATCTGCCAAAAAAGCTACTAAGACTATTAAGTGAATTCAGAAAAATAGAATACAAAGTCAATATATTAATGTATAAACAACTAGAAAAACAAATTAAAGTACTATTTCAGTACCATTGAAATACATAAAATATCGAAGAGGCACGTTTAACAAGGCAGGCAAAAACTTTATAGTATAAGCTGTCAGACTGTTGCAATTAATTAAACAAGACCCCAATAAATAGAGACATATCATGTTCATGAATCGGAAAAATCAACTCAAGATGCCAATTATCTCCAATATGATCCCCAGATTCAATGCAATGCTAACCAAAACCCTGGCAGACATTTTGGGAAGCAATCAACAAATTTACTTCAGAAATTAAAAAGGTAATACAAAGGACCTAAAAGAAAAAACAAATGAATAAAAACCAATTTAGAGGGATCACGTTACATAATTTCATGATCGATCACAGGTTTACAGTATTCAAGACAGTGTGCTATCAGTAAACACGTCAATGGAACTTGTGGGGAACAGAACCGGGAAGAGAGTGTACTGGGATAAGCTCTCAACATCATACATTAAGGAGTCTGGGAGGCCGGGCTCCCACGGAGGGAACCTTCATGGTTATGCATTCCTGTCACATTCTCCTAAGTAAAAGTCAGCGCCCCACAATAAAGCCAAATTTAAGGTGCTGTTTGTAAACACAAGGTAGATGACTATACAACTGAAGGTCAACTGCTTGAAGGCTGTCTGCCATCCAAAGCAATCAGGCCCTACTGATCAGGATTATAGATTATTTCCCTGGAGAAGAGTTCAGACCCCTTAGGTTCAGACCCCTAAGCCAACTCCAAAGACCAAGGTTAGGCTGTCATCTTGACCACTGAGCCTGCCCATCTTGTTTAGGGATGCACCTACCTGTCACATGTATGCCCCTAGTACAACCCCTTTCTATTGCATGTATACCCCTAGCATGACCCCCTCATGCCTCATGTTCTGTGTATGCTTTTAATACAACCCCCTCCAGTTATGTATCAGCTTACCGTGGCTTGTTTTGTAGTAGCGCTATGAAAAGCTTAAACAGCCTTGACAAGAGTGAAGCCATTTTGAGCTGGCAGAAGCCATTATGAACTATAAATGAACTAGCTGATAGTAGGGAGGCAGGCTGTGCTGACAAGCGCAGCGGAATGTACCGAAGGAAATGTATGTTCAGAAGGTTTGGAAGAATGATCAGAGCAATTATTGTCCAACTAAGAGCAGTTATTGTGTGACTAAGAATGGCTAACTGCAACATCCTGCTTCTGTACTCTGCTTGCTTGCGAACCTGCACGTTGCAACAGTATAAAAACCTTTGGAAAAGTAAACGAGGACCACTCAGTCTCCTCTCGAGAGCTGAAGGTCCCTGCGCAGGAAATAAAACTTTTTCTTTTGAACTTGTTGCCGGTCTGGGTTGTTTTTTTATGGGAACGGACAGTAGGTGTGTTAGACAGGGTTCTCTAGAGAGATAAAACAAAATTGCTAATTTAACATTTTTATTTATAAAGATAATTAGATATATAACAAAAGAAATGAACGGTTAAAATAAATACAGATAGATATATAATACAAGAACAGCTAAATTATAAAGCAGTACAAATGGCTCAGTGCAACTCACTCCCGTGAGAGAGAGTTGTGAGACAATAGCAGTCCTTTTTAAGTCTAGTCTGCTGCCAGGTCTTCCTCTATATGGAGAGCTAGGCTATCTCAGCACAGCAGCCAATCAAAAGGCAGGTCACCTCAACTTACAGTGACACAGTCCACAGGCTAGGCGTCCCACAGGTAGTGTGGCCTGTAAATTGAGGCACAGAACAAGCAAGGCAGCCGCACACTGGTCCGATGATCAAAGAGCGAGAGACAAGAAAGGCGAGGCTCACCGAGCCATTTATCTCTGCTTCAGTTAATCCCACCTGCCAGGCTGGCACCATAAACGATCTCAGTAGGCTACAACAGTTTGCCTGAGATTATCTAAGTCTGTGAGAGAATGAAGTACAATCCCATTCTGGTTCTGGTCATCACGGAAGAGGTGAGCCCTCGTATCTTTTATCTCGTCTGATACCTCCCAAATTTACCCTTCGATTACACAACCGCATGGCCCCCCCCATTGGAACTAAGTATCAGAGTTCAGAAAACCCATAGTTATGGTGCCAATTAGTTTTTCAAAAGGAAGTAAAGGTGATGTTTCATCAAATGGTGCCAGGACAATAGGATGGTGACATGGGGGGAGAGGGGAGTCTCCTCCCAACTCATACCTAACCCAAAAAGGAATCTAGGATACCACAAAATCACAAAGGGGGTGGGGTGGGGGAGGATCATTCACTATTTCATGACTGCACAGACACACTATCAATGTGAGAAAATACATGGATTGACTTTCCAATGTTACACGTTTTGCACTTCTGCTGATCCCAAAGGAGCCCTGCTGGTGTAGCAGTTACCCACTGGGCTGCTAACTGCAAGGTCAGAAGTTTGAGACCACCTTTCTTCAGCAGAAGACGAAGCTTTCTACTCCCATAAAGCGTTGCGGTCTCGAAAACTCACAGGGGCAGTGCTAGCCTGTCCTATAGGGTTGCTATGAGTCAGCATCAACTTGATGGCAGTTTTGGTTTGGCATGTTATTTAATACATTTTGATCAGCATGAGCTCACAGACCTAAATGTAGAAGCGAAAACGGGGTAGCTTTTAGAGGGAAAGCAAAGGAGTGTCTGTACCTTCCTGATCTTAAGAGTAGGCCAACATTTCTTGGGCAGGCCACGGGAGGTACTGCCCATTGAAGGAAGAAGAAAAACCAATGGACTAATGTCATCAAAACCAAAACCTTTCACCAAAAAATGTAGGCACACAAATAGGTAAGTCACTAGGGAAAGGTATTTTGCACCACATACAGTTAAAAAGGATCTTTATCTAGGACATTAAGAATTCTTACAACTCAAAAATAAAGACAGGCAAATTAAAGAGCCACAATGAGATTTTTACTACCTACCAATTAAAGTGGCTTATATTAAAAAGACTGACCATCCTAAATGCTAGTGAGGAGGTGAAGGAATTGGAATTCATATATTCCCCTGGGGAACGTGCTACGTGGTACAATTACTTCAGAAAATAGTTTGAAGGGTTCTTAAAAAGTTATTCCTGAATAGGACTTCCATTCTTACATATTCGTGTCTATACAGACTAGGCCATGAACGCTCGTCGTGGCTGTGTTTCTAAACTGACAACCACCCCAAAGAAACCAAGAGAAAGGAGAGGCTGGTTGGATATTGTCTTACTGAGGACTCCTAGCAATAAAACACCAACAAAACCTAGCCGCACTAGACCATGTGGGTGACTCCCACGATATTGTGCTATAAGACCCCACTCTATTCCATTTACATGACGTTTTTAGAGCATACAAAACTAACTTATGGCGACAGAAATCAGAAAACCAGCTACCTGGGCATGGGGAGGGGACTTGGATGACTGGAAAGGGCAAAAGAAAACGTTCTGGGGCTATAGAAATGTTCTGTAACTTACAGGGTATGTGTACACATTTTTCAAAGTTTAAAGAACTTTATACTTAAAGGGTTATGGAGCCAATTAGTTATGACTTTGTGGTATCTTCAAGTCCTTTTGGGGTTAGGTTTGAGTTGGGAGTTCTCGCACCCACCCATGTAAATATCCTGCTGTCCATTTGTTGAAAGTCACCCTTTCTCCATTGAACTGTTGTGGCTTCTTTTTGAAAAACTAACTGGCACCTAACTTTATACCAAGCATATGTCACTATTTTAAAAATTCCAGATGAAATTTTAAAATAAGTAACAGAACTATGATACCAAAAATACCAAAGACAAGATCCCCAGTGAGAAGATAAATATGACTACATGGAAATTTAGTCAAAAGATAACACTTGAATTTGTCAAAACACGAGATCAAGAGAGCTAAAGGGAAAACATCAAGCTGGAAAAAATACTTGCAAAATATACGAGACAGGATTTATATCTTTCATGACTCATGGGCAAAAGACAACCGGCCCGCCCCCCTCAAAATAAAAGTAAAGCCAGGACACTATGAAGTGACACTTATAATTCTCATGGATGAAACTCTAATAGAGGGGACTGCTCAGTTTGTCATTCCACAGGGTATGAAGTGAGCCATTTTCAGAAGCAGGAACAGAGATGCCCCTGACAAGCAAAAAGGAGCCAGGGGTGTAGAGCTAGCAACAGTGACTGCACTGATGGTTTATTGGGGGGTATGGCAGGGGAGGTTGAGCTGAGAACAATGAGTACGAGAAAGAAATCAATGTTCTCAAATTGATCGTGGAGACGACTGTACTACTCAACTACTGAATTGTATGTGTGAAATATGTTTTAAAAGAGAAAGAACAGGAGAGACGCATATCTGAGATCCCTGCATGGAGAGCTGGCAGGGAAGCAGTTGAGAAAGCTTCATCAATGCTGAAGGAGTTTTGTACACACCTGCCGGAGCGGGGCACTGGACCGAAAGGGTGAGGAGGGGCTGTACCTGACATTCTGTCACCTGCTAGGTTCCCTATTCAATCTTCCTATTGTGGGCACTCTGCCTGGGAGTTGTGCGTGGCCACTGCAATGGACGACTGAACCTAGAGAGCAGCAGAGGGCTGGGGACGGGGTGGATGGGGTCAGGTCAAGGTTGGAGAGTGAAGGCATACTTGACTTTTGCCGCACAGGGATCACCCTCGGAGAGACAAGGATTGCATTCTCTTCCTTTTCCTAGCAGGAAGAGGTCAGCTGTGGCCTCTACACCACTTCTTTGGACCCAGACAACAACCAAAGTAGCACTAACGGCAAATGAACACTACAAAATGTCCCACTCAGAGATGGAGTGGCACTAGAAGTGAATATATTAAAGATAGCCAGACTACGTGCAACTCATGTAAGCTTTCTGGAAAGCAAGGGCACGAACACACACACACACACACACACTCTCTCTCTCTCTCTCTCTCTCTCTCTCTCCCCCTCTCCCATTCCAAAAGTCAAAACAGTGCTCTATGAGGTTTTCAGTGGCTCATTTTTCAGAAATCAATCACCAAGCTTCCCCCCACTGCCCAAGGGAGCCCTGGACCCGCAGAGAGAAGGCCTTTAAGCCATGCATTTCTTTAAGCAGAAACCCCATTCCGAGGAGTCACACAAGTAACTGAGCAGATGTCTTAGGGTGTCCTAGAAGTCTGCGGCAGCTCTATATGTATAACGGAGCCAAAAGGCTAACCTCTTGGTACAAAGAGCCAGGTGGCCCGGAGTTTGAATCTGGCTCAGGCATTTGCCACCTGTAACTAACCATGGATTAGCTGGATCCATCAGCCCTGTGCCTCAGACTCTTCATGCATTAAAACTGATAACGGGCTGTTAGGAGAATTCAATGAGATTAATATATGTTAAGTATTTGGAATAGTGCACAAAATTTTAGCAAATATCACCAACTTATGATAGGGTTCCATTCTGATGACTGTCTTATTTTGTAGTGTTTACATTACATCCTGCTATATGGCAGTTTTTTGAACAGTAAATCACAATACTGAACATCTGAGAATGACCAAGCACCACCCTTGCTCCCCACAAGAAAAACAAAAAGTCCATCAAAGGTGACTGTCATCGAGTTGATGCTGACTCGCTGACCCGTGAATTTGGGACAGTATCTCCTTACAGGAGTAGAAAGTCTTGATTCTCACAAGGAGTGACTACTGCTTTTGAACTGCTGACCTTGCAGTTAGCAGCCAAACCTGTAACCACTATGCCACCAATGACAGCATTAACAAATTATGCGGCAACAGTGTATATAGCGCCCATTACTAACAGTAAAATGTTAAAAAACGAACCAGAGGACTTCAGTGTGGTTCATGGTAACTCAAACACAATTTAAGGTAAGGAATACCTGTACACAGTTATAAAAGAATCTGTAACTCCCACCTCCACTGCTCAACTACAGCAAAGTAACAGATGGGTCTCTATGGGGAAGAGTAACACTAGTGAGGTACTCATACCTTAGAATAAATCACCTCACCATCTGAGATCAAAAGGGCAGCATGTGCCCAAGGACCAAGTTAAGGAAGAAGGAAGAATGGGAAAGGAAAGAGGGAGGAATGGGATACGTGATGGTACGCTGAAGGGCCTGCAGTGCATGAAATGAAACAAATGTGTAAACTGTTGAATGGAAAACTGAAAGTCTGCTCTGTAAACCTTCACCCAGTTCATAATAAAAAGTAAAAACAAAAAAACCTAAAACTCTTAATATGAAGAATACCGTTCAATGTAAACAGTAGCATATGTAGGTTAAGATTTCATTTTAACAGGACATGAAAAAGCAGGGAGAACACGGGCATATATGTGAATCAATTGTACAGACAAAAATCACGTTAAGGAGACAGCATACAATACTAATGACTATCTCAGGGGTATAGGATGGATGATTTAAACTGTATGTTTGAAAAGATACTGTGCTAGGATCTTACCCCCACCAAAAAAATCTCTGGACAATCGACAATCAGTGGTTAGTATTTTAACTTTATGGCATAAGATGATTCCACTAGAGAGAGCTTATAAAATTAAAACTTACTGTGCCAGTATATGTTATAACTACTAGGTCCCTAAACCAACAATCTCCATTAGACAGAATGCAGAGGGGAAAAAGGCCTTAGAACAAAGCAATTTTACCACACCTCTCCTCTGTTAAAACCAACACTTAGCTGCTAGACTTTTCTTGGAAAATATATTCTTATTATAAAATTCACAATACTTAGCTGTGTTACCGGTTTCTCAATCTCCAGCCAACCAGAAGCAGTTGGAGGCAAACGTATCAACAGCTGCACGAGCAGGCAAATAGAGAACACCATTTGGCATGGGTACAAATGGTGGCTAGGCAGCACGATGGCAACGTTCCCGCTGGCACTCATGAGAACATTATTACCGGTTTGGGAAAGTAGAGAAATGATCAGGCAATTTTTAAAAGATTCCCTTCAAATGTGATGGAAAACACACCAACTTTCCAAAATGTAAAGGCACCTGGGAAAATATATGGCAATATAGGATCAAAGCTTATACATGAGACAGAAGGACTTTTCCTTTGTTCAGGAAAGGTCTCCTGGGAGCTTTGGGGGAGTGGGGAACCCCGCTGCTGGCCTGGCTTGCATATACCTGTCACCCCTCCAGCCTCTGCAGTCTTCTTAACTTTCTGCTGGTCATCCCAGCGCAGCTCTGAGAAGCCGTCCACATCGACATCAGGGTGCGGGAGGCAATGGCCGACCTTCCAGAAGCAGGAGAAATGGTACCAGTGTGGGACTTTGCCGTCAAACATGGGAGACTGGAAGGAAGCAGATCAGAGAGGTAAATGGTACAAGGACTGGAGCTCCAGGCTTCTCGATCTCTGTATCATCCCCAGCCCTTGGCAACCAGCGGCCCAAGTCAATCCTTAGTTCATCTGTAAGATGAGAAGCACCTGGCACACCTCCTCTGCCACAGGAAAGGCTGCAGATGGGTGGGAAACTGCACCCTGTTCCACGCGCCTTCTCTACGCCCTCCTAGACAGCACAGACAACGCAGCCTGCTGTTCCTGACTCGACTCTCGGGACATGAAACCCCTAGGAAACGGTGGCCACTTTTGAGAACAGAGCTCTGTTCACGAACCCTTTAGCCACACACGGCAACATTCCAGTGACATGACTCACCACATCTTATGTAATAAAATGTACATAAGATTCCCAACCCACATCAAGATCCCGCTGCAGATGACAGGGGAAGCCAGAGAGCGGGTCCCGTCAGGCCTGGACTCAAAGGACCTCTGTGGACCAGAGAGGGCTCTTCAAGTGCCATCACAGTAAAAAGTAATGAGGAGCAAGTGATTGGTGATGAGCAAGACTGGAAAAAACCGTGTCGGAGAGTGTCAAGCTCACAGGAGCCACACCGATGTGGGTGGTGTGGACTTTCACGAAGGGAGAATGAAAGTGAATGGGGCCGGGGAAGAAGGCCAGGGAGGAGAGACAACAGTCAGGCCCGATCTGCTTACTCACGGGCTGCTAGGAAGCACACCTCCCAAGTGCAGGAACTGGAAGCTCCCAGGCAGTAACAGGCTAGAGAGAATGGCATCTACCGGGTCTTTAGGTGGTGCAAACAAGGAGCCTGGTGGTTTCGTGGTTACTTGCTGGGCTGCTAACTGTAAAGCCAGCAGCACAAACCCACCAGCCGCTCCAAGGGGGAGAGGTGGCTTTCTGCTCCTGTTAAGATTGACTGTCTCGGAAACCCACAGGGTGTTTTTTTTCTTGGGGGAGGGATGCTAGACTGCAAACCTTAAGGCTGGCGGTTTGAATCCCCCCGTGGTGCTGCAGTAGAAAGGCTTCGTGATCTGTTTTCATAACGATCACAGCCATAAGAAAGCCCTGCGAGGATGGAGCTGTCCGCTGTTGCATGGGGTGGGGTGTGGGTGCAGGTCATTATAAGAGGAGCAAAGTTGACTGTCCCAGGTTTTTACTTTGGTACCCCTCTCAAGCCCCGGTGACTTCGCAACCAGCCCCTCACAGATGGAAACTGCTGGACAGACAACTGTACATCAGTCGTCCAGGCTGGATTTCACTCTGACAACACAGTGCTCTCTTTCCACTCCGTTGCCCAGCAGGAAGCACAACGCCACAGTCTACTTAAAATACACAAGCTGCTCTAACGGCAGGGTGCCCCACCCCAAACATCTGCTTTTCTAGAACATCAGAACTAAATGCTGTGCACGCATAACAAAGTATTATAATTGTATAAATAAGTATGATGCAGAACTTTTAAGATAGAGTTGTAGGAGTGAGGGAGATATTCTGGGGGTGGGGAGGATGACAAAGTAACTGTAAGGCTGATTTGAATCTGCTGAGAAGCCAAGTTCCTCCATGTTTGCCCTGGAGCCCACCCTAGAAAGTTCTGCCCCAAGGCTGAGCCAGTAAAAAAAAAAGTTCTCCATAAACAGGAAGGAATGTGCCTTTGTAACATCACTGACAACCAAGGTCTGGCTCCTAATACTTTGGGGACTCAGTGCTGTCTCCCCAACTATGGGCGCAGTGCTGGGCATCCTAGGTGCTGCCCAAATACAGGCTGCAGAGAGGACAAATCAAGAGTGCCGGGGTTTGAGGGCACCCAGAGGTCCCTAGGAAGAAGGGCCTGGTGGCCTACTTCCGAAAGGGCAGCCACCGAAAACCCAAGACAAAACACACAGGTCACCCAGCACTCTCTATAAAGACTACAAGTTGGAGGCTAGCATCTCCGGGGACAGCCACAAGGGGCCACCCGGAGGCATGACAGCTAAGGCATCTGGTGTTTTGATACTTAAGGAGAACAATCCACCTATACAAATGTAAAAAGAGTCCTAGCTCCAAGCCCGTAGCCAGTGAGAGGGCCAGCTTTACACATGAATTAAAACCCAAACTCATCCCCAATTACAATGCCTGGAGAATTTCTTTTCCTATCCAGTGTGCGCAGAAGATTAACATTTTGGCGTAGAGTGAGTCACACACAGTTCCTCAAGGGCACACTATCCCAGAGTCCCTAGGCAGAGCGAAACTCCCCCTTCCCAGCGGTCTTGACACAGCTGTACTCGGCTCTAACCATGGTGGTGCCGGGTTAAGTGTTTGGCTCTTCATCAGAAAACTCAAAAACCAAACTCACTGCCACCAAGTCGCTGCCAATTCATAGCGACCCTAGGGGACAGGGTGCAAGGGCCTCGTGAGGCCCCAGACTGACTCTCCAGGAGAAGAAAACCCCGTCTTTCTCCCTCGGAGCAGTTGGTTTCCAACTGACCTTGTGGCTAACAGCCCAACGTGGAACCTCCACATCACCAGGGCTCCACAACCAGAAAGCTGGGTGGTTTGAATCCAACAGGCATCCTAAGAGGAAAAACGAGGCAGTCTGCTCTACACCGATTAAGCCAATTCTCACTCAGACCCAGCAGAACTGCCCCCGTAGATTCTGAGACTACAAACCTTCAAGGGAGTAGAACGTGTCTCTTTCTCCCACGGGGCGGTTAGTGGTTTTGAACTGCAGACTCTGGTTAGCAACCCAGTGCATAACCCATTCGGCCACCGTGGCTCCACGATTACAGCCTTGGAAACCCCATGGGGCAATTCTACTGTCCTTACAGGGTCACTGCCTGACTCAATGGCAATGGGTATCCAAATAGAACAAGGGCCCCGCTGGCCCCAGGAGGAGCTGAGGATATCCCTTTCACAGAAAGTCTTAAAATGCTTCATGAAATGCACTTATAGTAAGATAATCAGAACACTTAAAAAATAATTGTGGGACAACTAACCAATGCTTTAAATAGGGTTAAATGCTTTGAAGCAGTAAATAACAATTTAATTTGTATCTGATTTAATAACCACCATATTTTGGAGTAGAGGTGAGACTAAATGGTAATTTGAAAAATCAACATCTGTAGAGAAATCAACATACCTTCAATTACTGGAGGGGCTAGGTACTGCTACTATGATTTTGCTTTGCTGAATTTCTAGAGGTTCGTGCAAAGTAGAGATGTAAAGTTTCTCACCATCCAAATGCTTGAAACTCTAATTCTAGCCACCATCCCTCTGACTCCAGGTTGATACCCCCCTGCTCACCCCCAACCCAGTCCTTGCACCAGGAGAGGGAACTTCATCCCAGTAAATTCCAATTCACAGTGGCCCTACAAGGGTAAGCCTTGGGCTGCTAACGGCAAAGTCCAGTTTGAATCCACCAGGGCACCTTGGGAGAATGAGGAGGCTGTCTGCTCCTGTAAAGATTTACAGCCCCCACAGAGTTGTGGGGCAGCTGCACTCTGCCCTGTTGTCATGCTAGAGTCGGATGACTGGCAGTGGGTGGGAATCGTCCCAGAAGCAGGCTGCCCATCTACTATGGAGGCGCAGCTGGTGTATCCCAGCTACCACTTAACCACTGTGTCACCAGGGTGCCTCATGGGAACAGGTTCAGCTTGTAGTCCGGGTAAAGCTCAAAGCCTTGCTACTGTGGCTAGCCATGTTGGAGCCAGCTCCAACTCATGGTGGCCACAGCACAGTCTGGGGCTGCACCATTCTCAGGACAGAAGCTGTGGCTTTCACAATGGCTCCTCCTTTTGACACACAGCACTCGCTGGCTAACTTTCAGAAAAAGACCAGGCTTTTCTTTTTTTGGTCTTACTTTGGAAGCTCTGCTGGAACCTGGGTACCATGAGTAGCCCCAATGACATGTGAAATACCAGCGATATAATCTTCAATATTGTTGCAACATACAATCCACCACAGCAAACACACTGACAGATGTGTGGGAGCTGCTAACGGGGTGCACTGACTGACCTGGAATAGAACCTGGGAATCCCTCAGGGCAGGTAAGAACTCTACCAGGGAACTAACAATGCCCCATTCAATGTCCCTTAGTGGAGGGAGATACGGCTCCTCAAATGTCTCAGTCTACTTTTTTATTTTCATTTTCCAGAGCCCACGATTTTGCAAATAATGACTCCTACTCAAGCCCCCACATTTAAGTGGATCCGTTGGCCTCCTCTCCTGGGCACACGGCTCCACCAGGGGAGGCACCTGAGCAGCAGTGTTTGCTTCCCTGACATCTTCCCTTTATCCAGTGGGACCCTGCCAGGCATGGACTGTAAGTACCTTTCTGTCCTTGGCACCTAAAATGCGCCTGGAAATTAATAGGTGCTCAAGGACGAAGTACTAAGCAAGGCAGGTCCTGAAGATGGCAAGTTAACAGCCTCAGTACCTGCCACAATATGAAATGAGGAGCCTAAGTACAAAAGTAGGTGATCTCTCCCTCAGCTACCCCTTCCAACCTACTGGTTCATTCTGAGTCACAGTGGCCCCGTAGGGCAGAGCGGACGGCCACTTAGGGTTTCCCAGGTTGTCATCCTTATAGAAGCAGACTTTCTCATCGTTCCCTAGCGGTGTAGCTAGGGTATTCAAAGCACCAGTCTCTCAGCTACCAACCAACCACGGGGCCACTAGGTTTCCTCTCTATTATTGACAATCAAGGGAGGACTACCTGGCCAATCCTCAAACCTGTTACCATCTCACTGCACAGAAGGAAAAGGTAGAGTGAGTTATCTTGACCCTGCGCACTATGCATAGGGAAGAGATGGGGGGGAGGGGCAGGTGAGAAGCAGAATTGCAGTAGCAAATGGGAAGGTGGAGGACGCAGGAAATGCGGAGGCTTTAGTTGGGACCTTAGGAGAAAGATGGGGCTGGAGCTTTCCATTTCCGTAGAGTCTTACAGTCTTGGAAATTCAAAGGGGTAGTTTTACCCTGTCCCATCCGGTCACTATGAGTTGACATCAACCCCACACCAGTGAGTTTGGTTTGAATTTTTTGGTTTTGGCTGGGACCTTAAGGCACACCACCCCCACACACAATGCGATCCTACACTCCCTAGGGCACTGAGGGGGACCCCCAACTGGTCGGAAAAACCAGAAGATCAAGCCCCAGAGCCAATCTACTCATAACAGAAGGCTGTAAATTTACCAAGGGAACATCTGTGGACCTGGGAAATTTGGGGGGAAAAGTTATTTTAAAAACATAAATTAGGCTCAAAGTGAGCCCACTGTACAGATACATTACCAGCATGCATAGCTTTGCATGTAATTAAGTGAAAAATGAGGGTGAGCAGGCAGTGAAATGAGAGCCAAAAATAGGTTAAAATAAAACACCTCATTCAAGGCAGCGGCCACAGTTAATGTAGGACAAAAATCTTCTACGCAAAGTAGGTAAAAATCAGGCCAGCTTCCTGCCCGAAAACATTATCTCCCTGCATGATTCTGTGGAAGAGTCAAGCCTGTAAGGAGAATGAAGAGAGGCCATGGACACACAAAGCCCTTAGTGCAGTGAAACAATTCTGTATGACACTCCAATAACGGTGGCTACATGACATTATGCCTTTGTCAAAATCCACAAAAAGGTCTAACAGAAACAATGAGCTCTAAAGGTAAACTGTGGGCTGTAAGTTATAATAATTTATCAACATGGGCTCATCGACTGTAACAAATGTACCACATTTTTGCAACATGGTCACAGGGAAAACTGGGCAGGGGAAGGGGAGGGGAAGGCATGGCGCTAATCTTCAACTTTTCTGAAAACCTGAAATTGCTAATGAAGTGTATTAAAGAAGAAAAAAAATCAGACCAGCTTCCAAAGTCCATGCACATTAGTTCCACCCCTCTAACGGGAACGGCGAAAAAACAAAACAAAACATAAAACAGGAACTCTTTCACTCCCAAACAAGGATTGAATTAATGCCTTCATTTTAAAAAGCAAAAGATCAGAGCACCTCCAGAGTTCCTGATTTTTTGGCTGCAAGATCAACCAAACCGTCCGGGAAAGGGCCCAGGGAGGCCACACGGGACGAAGGGCAGCAGCTGTTCCCACAGGCCCCAGAACACGGCTCGGGCAGCCTGGGCCCAGCCCCCTCCTCCGGGCAAGCCCTCCACCCTCAATTCTCCCCGAGGCCTGCGCTTCCAGGGCAGCAAGACCGGGGCAAGTGGGGAGCGGAGCAACTGGAAGGAGCCCTCGGGGGAGGGGCGCGCTCGGCACACGCCCCGACTCTGTACAAAGCGGCCCGGCTCGGAGCCTCCCCGCCCGCCCGCACCTGCACCATGATAGCCATCCGGAGCGAGTCCTTGGGGATGTTCTCCTTGCATTTTTTGCAAGAGGCGCGGCCGCTTTTGGCGTACTCGGCCCGGTAGAGCTTGTCCGAGGAGTCCGCCATCCCGCTACTCGTGCCGCTTCACTACTGCTGCCGGACGCCGCCGCCTCGCTGGCCCGCGCGCGCTGCCCGCTCTCCGCTATCGCCCCAGCGCCTTAGGCCGCAGCCGCCGCCGTCGCCGCCTTTAACCACGCCGCGCCGCCGACCACCCGGCGCTCCCCGATAGATTGCTGATGCCTGGCCGCGGGAACGTCCCCCGCGCCTGCGCTCAGGGGGCGGGGCCGGTGGCACGCAGGCGCCCTCCGCTGGGCGCGGGGAGGTGGTGCCTGCTCACGCCTGGAGCCCTAGCTAAGAATAGATCTAGGGTTAAGATTATGGTTTGGCTTCCTCCTCCCCACTGTCATGACCCCAGTTCTGCCTTACAAATCCGCCTAGACCAGAGGATGTACACTGGTACAGATAAGAGCTGGAAACACAGGGAATCCAGGGCAAATGAACCCCTCAGGGGCAATAGTGAGAGTAGTGGTACCAGGAAGGGAAGGGGAAGGTGGGGTAGAAAGGGGGAATTGATCACAAGGATCTACATATAACCCCCTCTCTGGGGGATGGACAACAGAAAAGTGGGTGAAGGGAGACATTGGTGAGTGCAAGATTTGGAAAAATAATAATTTATAAATTATCAAGGGTTCAAGAAGAAGAGTGAGGGAGGGAAAAATGAGCTGATACCAAGGGCTTAAGTAGAAAGTAATGATGATGGCAACAAATGGACAAATGAGAATGATGATGGCAACAAATGGACAAATGAATAGATCTATGTGCATATATTTATAGGTTTAGTATTAAGGTAGCAGAAAAACATTGGGCCTCCACTCAAGTATTCCCTCAATGCAAGAATACTTTCTTCTATTAAATTGGTATTCTATGATGCTCACCTTCCCGACACAACTGCTGAAGACAAAGCGGGTGAATAAGCAAATGTGGTGAAGAAAGCTGATGGTGCCTGGCTATCAAAAGATATAGCATCTGGGGTCTTAAAGGCTTGAAGGTAAACAAGCGGCCATCTAGCTCAGAAGCAACAAAGTCCACATGGAACAACATATCAGCCTGTGTGATCACGAGGTGTTGAAGAACGGATCACTGAAGACAAATGGGTGCATAAGCAAATGTGGACAGGGCAAGATATGACAAAATAATAATTTATAAATTATTAAGAACTCATGAGGGATGGGGGAGCTGGGAGGGAGGGGGAAAAATGAGGACCTGATGCCAGGAGCTTAAGTGGAGAGCAAATGTTTTGAGAATGATGAGGGCAATGAATGTACAAATGTGCTTTGAACAATTGATGTATGTATGAGTTGTGATAAGAGTTGTATGAGCCCCTAATAAAACGATTAAAAAAAACAAACAAATGGACAAATGTGCTTGGCACAATGGATGGATGGATGGACTGTGATGAAAGCTGTATGAGCCCCTAATAAAATGATTGGAAAAAAAAGATTATGGTTGCAGTTCTAGGGTAAAGTTTAGAGATAGAGTTTACATTTGGGGTATGTGTTAGGGTTAGAGTCACGTGGTTAGCTCAAGGGAAAACTTAATTTAGGGTTACATCTAAGATTATGGTTTAGAAACACATTTGAGATAGGGTTAGTCCTGGGGTTAGGGTTAGATCTAAACTAATAGCGGTAAGAACAAAATTACACTGGGGTTGTCAATTCTGATTCATAGTTTAGGGCTAGAGTTATGGGTAGGGTTAGGATTAGAATTAGCTTTAGGTGTATAATAGGGAGGGTTTCAGGTCAGGGTTCACGCCGTAGGATTAAAATGAGACGTAAGGTTAGATTTAGAATTGGAGTTTGAATTCAGGGTAGGGTTAGGGTTAGAAGTAAGGCTAGTGCTCAGGCTGTGGTTATGTCAGGTCTAGGATTGGGATTGGAGGTAAAATTAGGGCTAGTCACATGGAAGGAGCACTCCAGCCTGTGTGATCATGAGGTGTCAATGGGATCAGGTATCAAAAGATCCCAAGCAAACAATTGTATCAATATGAATGAAGGGGGTTGGAGTTGAGACCCAAAGCCCACCTGTAGACAATTGGACATCCCCCCACAGAAGGGTTACAAGGAAGGGATAATTCAACCAGGTGCAGTATAGCACCTATGAAACACACATCATTCCTCTAGTTCTTGAATGCTTCTTCCCCCCACACTACCATGAGCCAGTTCTACCTTACAAATCTGGCTAGACCGGAGTACACACATTGGTGCAGATAAGAGCTCTGGACACATGGAATTCAGGACAGATAAAGCCCTCAGGAACAGTAGTGGGAGGAGTGAAACCATGAGGGTAGGGGAATGGTGAGGGCTGGGGTGGGGGGCAAGGGGAACCTATCACAAGGTTGGATAGGTAACCCACTCCCAAGGGGGGTGAATAACAGAAATGTCCGTGAAAGGAGACAATGGACAGTGTAAGACACGAAATAACAGGACTCATGAGGGTGGGAAAGTGGGGGAGGGAGGGGAAAAAAGAGAAGGAAGAGGATACCAAGGGCTCAAGTAGAAAGAAAATGTTTTGGAAATGTTGATGGCAACATAGGTACAAGTAGCAAGACATGACAAAATAATAATTTATAAATTATCAAGGGTTCATAGGGAGGGGGAAGCGGGGAGGGAGGGGAAAAATGAGGAGCTGATGCCGGGCGCTTAGGTGGAGAGCAAGTGTTTTGAGAACGATGAGGGCAATGAATGTACAAATGTGCTTTACACATTTGATGTATGTGTGGATTGTGATAAGAGTTGTATGAGCCCCTAATAAAATGATTTAAAAAAAACATAGGTACAAGTGTGCTTAATACAATTGAATGATGAGTTGTCTTAAGATTTGTAAGAACCCTCAATAAAATGAAAAAAATTTAGGGTTAGTGTAGCATTTGTGTTAGTATTCTAATTTAGATTTAGGCAGAGAATAGGCCTTGGGCTACACATGGATTTAGACTTAATTACTGGATTAGAAGCTAGAGTTAGGGTTAGGGCTAAGGTTAAAATTAGAGATAGGGGCCATGGAATTGTCACTTTATGTACAACGGAATGAAACATGGCTTAATCCTGCACTATCTTCACAGTTGTTAGGTTTGAGCCCATTACTGCAGCCACTGGGTCAATTCAACTTGTACAGGGTCTACCTCTTTTTCCCTAACCCTCTACTTTACTAAAACCAAACCAAACTCACTGCTGTCCAATTACTGCTGACTCACAGCGACTCCACTGTGGGTTTTTGAGACTGTAAGTGTTTTGCATGGGTCCTCAAACTTTTTAAACAGGGGGCCAGCTGTTCCTCAGACCCGTTGGAGGGCCGGACTATAGTTTTAAAAAAAACTATGAACAAATTCCTATGCACACTGCACATATCTTATTTTGAAGTTAAAAAACAAATGGGGCAAAAACACCGGCATGCTGGATCAATGTCCTCGGCGGGCCGCATGTGGCCTGTGGGCCGTCGTTTGAGGACCCCTGGAGGAATAGAAAGCCCAGTCTTTCTCCCGCAGTGCTGCTAGGTGGTTTCAAAGTTCCGATCATAGAGATCACAGCCCAATGTATAACCACTACACCCTGGGCTCCTCCTAGTTTATCAAGTGTGATTTTTTTTCTTAGGGACTGGTCTCTCCTGATAACTTGTCTGTAGTATGTGAGACAAAGTATCACAATTTTGCTTCTAAGGAGTATTTTGATTGTACTTCTTCCAAGACCGTTGTGCTTGTTTTTCTAGCAGTCCATGGTACTTTCAGTATTCTTCATGAACACCATCAGTCAAATGCATCGATGCTTCTGTCTTCTTGATTTATTGTTCAATCTTTGCATGAGCACGAGGCAACTAAAAATACCAATGCTTAATTGCGCCTTAGTCTCCAAGTGCCATCTTCGTTCTTCAACACTGTAAAGAGGTCATGTAGACCAGATTTACCCAATGCAATAAATCATTTCATTTCTTGACTGCTGCTTCCAGGAACATTGATTGTGGATGCAAGAAAAATGAAGTTTTTGGTAACTTCAAGCTTTTCTGTGTTTATCATGATGTTGTCTATCTGTCCCATGTTATTCATAGTGTGTTATCATCTACACCGTCAAATGCCTTTGCACAATCCGTAAAAACAAAAACATCTTTCTGGTATTCTCTACTTTCAGCCAAGATTCATGTGATGTCAATAGTGACATCCCTCCTGCCACATCCTTTTCTGAATCTGGCTTGAATTTCTGGCAGTTGTTGATGTAGTGCTGCAACAGTGTTTGAATGATCTTCAGCAAAATTTTATTTATTTATTTTAGACATAAACAAAACAATTTACCCAACAACATAGTATACGTACATGATTTTCCAGCATACATGGAACATGTTCCAGAATAGATTGTATGTTAGGCTACAAAGGAAGTATCAATAAATTTAAAGCCATACACTGTTGAGACCCCACTTGCTTCTTTATGGACTCTATTATACCAGTTGACCTTGATGTTCTTGAGACTATGGTCCTCAGGCCCCAGTCGAGGGATGTATTCCCTCAAGGTGCTTGGCTATGTCTCAGAAGGCTTCACAATTCCCCCCCCCCCTGTGTACTCTGATATATTTATATGTAGAATTAGCTTCTGTCAGACCTATAGATATTCATGTGTATAATCCCATTTGCCTTCTCACACTTGTTCAGTGTGTCGATACATCTACTTGTAGATTATTGTTATTTCAGAATTGTGTATGTAATAGTATGTGTTAGTCTGGGTACTTTAGAGAAAGAAATGCACAGAAACTCATATATAAGAGAGAGTTTTATATAAAGGTTAAGTGCGCATCAAGAAAACATCCCAACCCAGTGCTGTTCAAGCCCACAAGTCCAACAATAACCCATATGTCCGCCACCAATCCACAAAGTCCTCCTCCATCTCACAAAACAGACACAATGATGCGGACTGCAGGAGGAAAGCTGAGTCAGTGAATGTGTAAGCATCTCCACGCGGGTGCTCCAGCACCCAGGGCTGCATTGGGGTAGGTACATGTGGCTTCTCCTCAGGGACGTCCTGCAGGAAATGAGCCTTTCCAGCTGAAGCACGGAACTGGCTAAGGCAACTGC